AACTTTGCAACAACTAATATTGACTTTGACTTTTATCCATTAAATATGTAAACACATGTTCAGTAAAAAATTTGTTTAATAGCCCCTTTTATTGGTGGTGTAGTTATTAACTTATTATGCATAAAGTTGATAATATAATTACCAACACGTAAATTTTCCAACACAAATTATGTCGCACCCAACAATTTGTACGGCGTTCCTAATAACTACCCTAAACTTCTTATCTTTCTCAATGTCCTGCATTTCATTCAAACACTATTTTCTTCTCTTCTTCCACTAACACCTCCCGTGGCAGAAAAATTAATATACCAATGATCGCTCCCATCGGCAGCGTTGTTATTGGCGGTGGTATTGTCGACGGCGTGAAACTCGTCGGGATCAAAGACGTCATCCATGGCGGAAGAGAGAGAAAGTTTAAGACATTTGAACAGGATGGAGTGGAGAGAGAAAATAAAGATTGTTAATTATATTTGTCAATGATTTATGCTTGAATTGGCTTGATAATTGCTTGAAATTCTCAGATTTTCCTAAATATGCCCAAAAAATTCAAATTGGGGCTTTCTTGTGTGATGTATAATTGTTGAAATTGATTGTCCCATGTAATTGTATGTTGAATTGTGAGCGTTTTGATAACAAATGCATGTATTTTGATTAAGAAAGGAGCAAGTTATGTTATACCCATGAGCTTAGTACAGGACCTTCAATGTAGGTTCCACCATTGTTGCCCTTTTAATTATTTTTATTTATATCAGCCAACAAAAGGAACATATCAACCAACAAATGAAACATATCAGCCAACAAAAGGAACATATCAGCCAACAAAACATAGATATCAGCCAACAGATTGAACATATCAGCCAACAAATGAAGCATATCAGCCAACAAAATGATGAAATCAGCAAACAAAAGCAACGGGTAAGCCAACAAAATAAACATATTATTCAATTGTACATATCCTCTAACAAACTATAAATATCCTCTATCAAATAACACATATCCTCCACCAATTACTACATCATATCCTCTAACAAATTGTACGTATCCTCTATCAAAGATAAATTGTACATATCCTCTAACAAAGTGTACGTATCCTCCACCAGAAACTACATCATATTCTCTAACAAACTGAACGTATCTTCATAAATAGTACATATCCTCTATCAAATACTACATCTCCTCTAACAAACGGTACATATTCTCCAACAAACAATATATATCCTCCAACAAATTGTACTTATTGTTATGAAATTGCAAAAGAAGGGAAATCGGCCACATTAAAATTACCTTCTGGGGAGGTCCGTTTGATATCCAAAAACTGCTGAGCAACAGTTGGACAAGTGGGGAATGTTGGAGTGAACCAGAAAAGGTTGGGTAGAGCCAGATCTAAGCGTTGGCTAGGTAAGCGTCCTGTAGTAAGAGGAGTAGTTATGAACCCTGTAGACCATCCCCATGGGGGTGGTGAAGGGAGGGCCCTAATTGGGAGAAAAAACCCCACAACCCCTTGGGGTTATCCTGCACTTGGAAGAAGAAGTAGAAAAAGGAATAAATATAGTGATAATTTTATTATTCGTCGACGTAGTAAATAGGAAAGAAAATGAAAATAGAATTAGTTTCTTCGTTTTTACATAAAAAAAAATATAGGAGTAATTAGCTGTGACACGTTCACTAAAAAAAAATCCTTTTGTAGCGAATCATTTATTAAGAAAAATTGAGAAGCTTAACACAAAGTCGGAAAAAGAAATAATAGTAACTTGGTCACGGGCATCTACCATTATACCCACAATGGTTGGACATACAATCGCTGTCCATAATGGAAGAGAACACTTGCCCATTTACATAACCGATCGGATAGTTGGTCATAAATTAGGCGAATTTGCACTAACTCTAAAGTTCCAGGGACATGCAAAAAACGATAATAAGTCTCGTCGTTAAGTTTAACTTAAGGTTAATTAAGTTAATATAAAAAAATAGATGCTTATCATTTATTAATGGAGGTAAACTTTATGGGTTTTTTTTTAAAAAAAAAAAATCAGAATTTGATGTCTTTCGTCTATACGGATCACGTCACCCAGAGCCGGGACAATGTGATGAGATAACTACAAGAGGTCATTCTATATCCATGTCTGTTGACAAAGCACGAAGAGTAATTGATCAAATACGCGGTCGTTCCTACGCCGAAACACTGATGATATTAGAACTCATGCCCTATCGAGCATGTTATCCTATTTTAAAATTGATTTATTCTGCAGCAGCAAATGCTAGCCACAATAAACAATTCAACAAAGCAAATTTAATTATTAGCAAAGCTGACGTTAATAATGGTATTACCTTAAAAAAATTAAAACCGCGAGCTCGAGGGCGTAGTTATCTGATTAAAAAACCTACTTGTCACATAACTATTGTATTAAGAGATATAACCCACTTTGATTCATATGAGAAATTTTTAGAGAGTTTACCTCCAAAAAAGCTAATAACTTCCTTAGGTATTATGTCTACAGGTCGACGACGCGAATTTCTTGTGTGGTCGTTTTAGAGAAAAGCATAAAATAAAGAGTTTCTTATACAATATAGCCTTTGTATGATGGAGTAAGCAATATGGGACAAAAAATAAATCCACTTGGTTTCAGACTTGGTACAACACAAAGTCATTATTCCCTTTGGTTTTCACAATTAAAAAACTATTCAGAAGGTTTACAAGATGATAAAAAAATAAGGGATTGTATAAAAAATTATGTACAAAAAAATACAAGAGCATCCTCGGGTATCGAAGGAATTGCACGTATCGAAATTCAAAAAAGAATTGATCTGATACAAGTGATAATCCATATGGGATTCCCAAAACTATTAATAGAAAATTGACCACACGGAGTAGAAGACCTAAAAATAAATGTACAAAAAGAATTGAATTGTGTAAACCAAAAACTCAATATTGCTATTACAAGAATTGCAAAACCTTATGGGCACCCTAACATTCTTGCGGAATTTATAGCCGGACAACTAAAGAGTAGAGTATCATTTCGAAAAGCAATGAAAAAAGCTATCGAATTAACCGAACAAGCTGATACAAAAGGAATTCAAATCCAAATTGCCGGCCGTATCGATGGAAAAGAAATTGCACGTATCGAATGGATAAGAGAGGGTAGGGTTCCCCTACAAACCATTCGCGCGAAAATCGATTATTGTACTTATACCGTTCGAACTATCTATGGAGTATTGGGAATCAAAATTTGGATATTTATGGACGAGGAATAATAAACCTTTACTTAATTTGTCTTTTGGTATCAATTTAATGTAATGATGGAACATAAAATAACAACCTTTAACAGAAAAACAATGTTATCGAAAATAAGACTGAGTCGCGGACTATGTCGCTTTCTAAGAACATTCGCGACACTGCCTTGAAAACGTGCAAGCAGTTCATACTAAACCGGATATTCCCCAGGATAAAACAACCTTTCTAATTTGTGTAATATACCGGTGAAACTGCACCGTATCACCGGGCAACTGAGCACCAAAAGGAAAAGCGAAACTGCTCGAGGGTGTTAGGAAAATGTTTTCTGTATTTAAAACCAGGGAAACAAGAGGCCTTTTATAGGCAAATTGCAACGTAACTATTGCTAACAATTAGGCACTAATCACGCCTGTTTTCAAACCAGTTTAGCAAACCTGAAGGAGTTAAAACGAAGCAAAAATCAAGGAAAGATTATTTGATAAACCCGACCCGACTCTGTTCGGTGCGCGTGTGTGTGATAGATGATCTACCATATAGGTCCTCCCTCTCAACAAAATGTGGGTAGCCCAAGGGCCACACCCCTTTAGTTCACTCTCTATATTATAAAGAGAGTAAAACATTCATTTCCCACCAATGTGGGACTTTGAGTTTCTAACAAAATGCACACCACACATACTTTTGTTCCAACACTTATTCTCTATCAAATAACACATATCCTCCAACAAGTTGTATATATCCTCTATCAAATAATACATATCCTCCACCAAATACTACATATTATATATACTTGCCGCACGAATTCTTTGGTGCAGCTTGCCGCATCCAATATCTTCTCCTTTACCAAATATCTTTGTAAATAATTAGTACTTGTTGCCAACCTAAACAATCAATTCTAAGTATCAGTAATTGGTCAAACAAAAGCCAATTCAACAATAGATGGACAACTGTTGTGTTAGATGTTTATTCATACTTTTCACACTAATCTTACCATATTCACCCATTATCATTTTGATCCATATCTTAGGGAAGTAGGAAACTCGTGATGTTTGATAAAATTGTTGTTTTTCACAGACTTTGAAGATGGATGATTTCTCTAGTCTTTGAAAGTGTAGTCTCAAACATTGTTAAGTTTATTATACATGTTCTTTTCACATTTAAATCAAGAGGAGAAAAGCTCGATCATGCTCTCTAACAAAAGAAATACTACTAGTATATTCTCTTAAGGATAATTACTACAATGAACAAGTTAAAGTTAGTAATTATCGAGTTGAATACATCAACTTTAATCCAACTTAATTAATCTCATGTCAAACTCTTTATCAATAGGTTCAATTTAAATTAGGATAACTTATGTCAACTCTAAACGTCTAATTCACCTAATGTGATACTCGTATTTGAACCCAATAAATTGAATTGTTGCCGGCCTTGCCGCCCCAATGACAATGCTCTTTCTTGATGGACTTACAAATTATACAGATGACAATGAAAATGACCTAACAGAAACTGTAAAAGAAAGTGAAAAGGGAAAAAAGAGTAGGCAAACTAATGAGAATGAGCTAGACATAATCAAGGCAAAGCAAGCAAAAAGAGGAACAGCAGCCAATGATTTCCCCATGCAATTTCCATGCCTATCTAATATCAAGAGCATTAAAGTAAAGGCCCAAATTTCAGGGGGAAAGCTAAATTGCAACCAAAGAAGCCGTAGCTTGCCCAACACCCTTTACCCAGCCCTACAATGACAGGATATTTACTTTAGTCTTTATTGCAGGTTTTTTTTTTTTTTTTTTTTTTTTGGTGGATAGATTGACTAGGTTTATTCTCGACCTTCGGATCCAGGCCATCGTGGACCACTCGTCGAACCTCAACACCCAGACCCGAATCTGACTAGACCTCAATGCCTAGTCGTTGTTAGACCCTATACAGAGAAATGATGCATCTGAGACTCGATCCAAGTTTTCCTGCAGGACATCCGAGATGGTGACTTTGATGCCACCAGATCACTAACTAGATTGGCTATGCTAATGAAATTTGCAAAACACTACATGTGTAGCAAAGAACAATCACTTTAAATAAACCTGAATTATTTAATCTAGATTTATGCTAGATTCGCGGCTCTTCCATGGGTGATTAATCACAGTACAGAGAAGGGGGCATAAAATATAAAGGCAGAACTTTCAATAACAAGCACAAACACAAATTACATGAACATAAAACTCATTTAATATAATCATATTAGCTAATGGAATTCATTGCATAAATCAGAACACTTGCACATTCAAATGTCTGCTTAAGGCAGAATTCAGCATCTCTTAAAGAACTCTTCCAGAAACTATACAGACAGAAATCTTGTTAGCAGCACAAGCAAAATCAGCGCTATGCTCTTTTCTTTGTTCCCACCCCCCTTCCCCCAAAGAAAAATAAAAACAGTTGAATAAGAGATTACGGAGTAAACTAAGTTTCGAATACTAATCTTTCTTTGAGGAAGCCCTGCTACTGGCTACACTCCATTGATCTGAAAACCCGGTAGAGGCGGCCCCATTGCAACCACATTTTGCTACGGTTCTGACGCTCTCAATCAACTCCTCAGTTCGCGATTCTTGTGACAGTATCTCCACCAACTGCTCTGGAGTAATCACCAGCTTCACCTTCCAAACTCCTTCCTTTGCTCCTTTATTATTGTACCTCGAAAAGACATCAGTATTTGATCTCTTGAGAACATTGCTTTGAGTTGTACTCCTACTATCAAAGGACATCCTATAACCTGCATTCCCTCCTGTTGTACCTGTAGGTATACTCTTGGATCTAACATGCCCTACCTTAACATCAAACTCATCTTTATATTCTTTACTCGTATGAAGCGGAAGAAGCCAGGGGCGGAACTAGGGTGGGTTCAAGTGGGTTCATTGAACCCACTGATTTTTTGAAAAAAATTTAAAATTTTTTTTTTTTAAAAAAAAAAAAAATCAAAATAGGTTTAAATAGAATATTTGTGTATTATATGGCAACAAGTAAAGTTGTAGCCCAGTGGTTATTTTTACCTCCCATCACACAAGAGTTTGTGGGTTCAAAACCCATAACTCACACTTTTTTTTTTAATTTTGTTTCCTGAGCACTGAGCTTTCCTGCTTCCAGAGTTCGCTTTCCTCTTCCTCATTCCCCCAAATTGCAAAACCCTAACTTCTTCCTCCAATCCTCCTTCTCTTAATCTCTTCCCGTTCTTCCTCCTTCTCTTCCCGGCGCAGCACGGCAGCAGAGTCAGCAGAACACGGCGGCAGCGGCAGGCCGGCAGCGCACCAGCCACTCACCCAGACCCAGCCTCACAGCCGTGTATGGTGTATCGGTGTATGTAGGGGTAAGTGAATTTGGGGATTTTTTTTTTTTTGCAAATGTAATTTACTTCTCAATTTGGGGATTTTTTTTGCTAAATCATTGAATACTTGAAAATTGAAATTCATATGCTAAATTCAATTGCTAATATACATTACGATTTACGAATTGCCAATGTTTTGTAAATTGCTGAAGTTTGGATATAATTATCTAATTTACTTCTCAAGTTCTCAATTTGGGGATTTTTTTGTATTTCGTATGCTATTTTCATATGCTATGCTATTTTCTGCCTTTCGTTTCTGCCAATTCATATGCTATTTTCTGTATTTCGTTTCTGCCTTCTAGTTTTCATAATTTCATTTGCTATTTCGTTGATATGGGTTTGATTGATGAATATTATAGATCTTAGAGATAATTTATTTACATTGTTATGTTTAATATATGCTAATTTTTAATTCAATCGTGAAAATTTGGCCTTTAATTATTCTGTGTTTGAAGCATGATTTTGAGTTAAGTGATGTTTGGCGAACACTCTTTGATAATTTTATTTGTATAATTTTGAGTTCAGTGATGGTTTTGTATTGCTGATTAATTATATATAAAAAATTGAAATTAATCCTGTGACATGAATCTACTACACAATTTAACTCTAACTAAGCTACATTGAATTGAACATTTTTATTGTCGGCACATAAGAATTCTGTCAAGCCATAGCTAACGACAGTAATCTGCTACAATAATCTAAGTGAGCAATCAGAATGAGAAAAGCTTCGATAGTGAAACGATAATATTTAGCTACTTGAACTTAATATCCCTATTTGGTTAGTTTGGCAACTTATCAAATGAGAAATAAATGTAAGGTGGGATGTTGATCCATGTATTGGGTTAAGTCCTTAAGCTCTAGCGATGCGTGAAAGGATACAATGAAATATCATGGCCATTATCATTATTTTTCCGTCATTAAGTTAATATGTGCTGATTGTTGGCCTCTTTGACTAGTTGAATCCATATTTTAACTCTATAACAATGATAGTATGTAGCTTATTCAGTTTAAATAGTATATGTGCAATGTAATGCTTACTTGCTAATTAGAATATTGTAGCTTTTTTTTTAATGTTAACTTGTAATTTATTTAATGTGTTGCTTCTCTGCCATTGTATTAGCTTGATCAGATTTTATCGGTTATAGCTTTTTTTTTTTTTTCATTTTTCTATGTGTAATCTATTTGTAATCCATAGTTTGAAATTATTTATGTACTGAATATTTAATTATTGTATTTTTATTCCTTTGTTAATTATGATTTCAAATTTCGGAAGTTTCGAACCCACACTTCGAAAATCCTGGTGACGCCACTGGAAGAAGCAAGTATGAAACTCCAGGATGAAGCTCTTCATTGTTTAACAACGGCTTCCAGAAGAGATCGTCACTCTTGAAAATGGCGTGGCAAGGAAATTCCTCCAAGATAAAGCCTACTGTTATAGGGCCATGGAATTCCATAATACCGCCATTTGCCGTGACAACTTGGATGGTCTCAGCCTCCTCCGCACCTCCCATGCCACCAAACAAGCAATTTCCCATGATGACTAGTACTAACTACTGGTTTGTTCCAACTATAAGAGGCTTCTTTGACAGAGAAAGCATTTTCCAGTCATCCCCTTAATTTCAGCAATGCAGTTATGCTGATCTAGTGGGATTCTGGTATAAATGCAGGGGGGTTAGTTTTGGTCGGCAAATTATTGATTTATAACTTATGAAAAAAAAACTAGACAAAAAGCGATTCATCTTATAACAAGAAAAATCGAGATCTAAGAGTAATTCGACATCACGCTACGAGCACATATAAATAAGCCAGTGCAGCAGTGGTCTGAATCTGATGGTGTATCCAACATCCACAGGCTAAGCCAAAGAAAGATGGTCAAAAACACACCCAAGACTCATTGAAGTGGTCCACTAAACCTCATCATAACCTTCACTTTCCCTTTAACAAAGGCTATGTCTATATTCTATACGAAGGAATAAGAAATTTTATTTCCCGCTGCTTTTAAAAACAAACAATATTCCCAATCCCAAAGTATCACTATCCTTTTAAAGTAAGTGGAGTATTATGCAGCAATTAATTGCAGTTTGCAGCTAAAACGGTTTATATTAGTGGTTGTTAACTCCACTAATACATGCACTTCTTATTAAAGAAACATCAAAACTACAAAATAGAATAAAATGCCCTTAAAACCCTCTAACTTTAAGCCTTAATCCACCTTATAACCACATTTTCTAATGCAGATGACTGATATAGTATCTGGCATCTCAAAAGGTGTTAACAAAAGTATGCAGCTTAATAAGAACTGCTAATAACTTTCCGTACATGTAACACCCCATTCCCATATTAATTAAAAAAAATAGGTCGAGTACAACGCGGTGCATAGAGTTTAGAGTTATGCACATTTTATTCTACCAAAATAAATCAAAATGTTACCCTACATAAACTTCGGGAAAAAAGGGAGTTATACGTGGACTAGAGGGTGGCTCTGGACTTTAAATCCACCCAATGCCCGGTAGTACCCTTTAGAATTTTGTAAAGAAGAAAAGGAAAAATCAACAATAGCATCCCACTTTTTTTACTCTTTAAAATGTTGGGTATCTTGCACAGGCTGCACTACTTTTACTATTTACTGCCAGCGCAGTGTTTGAGACAGATACTGCTTAATGACAGTCTGTTACTCAAGCAACTCCATTAATATGATGTAATAACTACCAAAAGGTTCCAGTTGCTAGAAGCTTCCTGTATCCCCTCAGGGGACAGATGACAGTTTTGCAACTTCCAAAACCCAAGCTCAATTTTCACAGTAATGTGCAAGGATAATATCACCAAATTTCAGGTCTCAGAAACAATAACAACTACGTATAATGGTTTCACATCCCCAAAGGACTCGATAATAAGTTTTCCATGCAACCTATATGAGCCTTAGCATGTCTTCACCTTGTTGGTCCATGTCTAAACACTTGCAAAAACTGCCTTCTAACCCTCTTTCCAAATTTACAGCCTGTGGCGGGTTTTCAACGGACTTCTCAGACCCTCTATGGATAATCAAGTATCAAAACCTAGAGTGACTCGCTTAAGAGTAACAGGCATCAGACCATCAGCATCCCAGACAGGTCTGATAGAGTAAACAAATCTCTGAGTCAAAAAACTCTCAAGAGCAATTTTAGGTAGTAACTAGTAAGGCACACCCTAGGGAATAAGGAGGATGTGAGTGGACTCTTAAATCCACTCTCTGAGATGAGGGCAAACATTCTCATCTTGATATGACAAAAGGCAGGGTGAGGGGTAATAAGACCTCCTCAAAGCCCCAAACAGTCTGCGTAAGCATATGAAAGAAATATACATAGAAAGTTGGAAACAAAGTTCATGTTCCATCCTGTATACAACTAGTACATGTAGAATTCCAATGGAAGATACAGCCATACAGGCATACAGCAGATTACAAGTTAGGCAGGTAATAGCAAATAAATGGCAGATGTGTCAAATTCATTGCAATTCAAGAATTCAGGATGACATAGATAACGTAAACGCGAGTTTGAAACTCATAATAGCTGATAGGGAACATTAAAAAAAAAAAAAAAAAAAAAACTCAATAACTGCTACCACAACGGGTAATCATAGTTAAGTTATAAGTAGAATTGTCAAGTCAAAAACAGCTGCACCTTCATTCAACCGTGCATCATATACAACCTTGCAAGATCCTCAAAGTTCCATCCAACTCTATGCCATTAAGTAGACCCAAAATGAAATACGATACTTCCTGATAAGAATAATTCAGGCTCAGATAGGCAGAAACACCAAGTAGGAGTATAGCATCTTTACATAGTCATCTATGTCCAAAATATACAAAAAGTACTCCTGTTCCTCAAAAGAGCAAAGATGAATCAGTGCATCGGTTTTCTGGGAGCACGAGGGCGAACTGGTGTCTTGGATGGACTAACCCTGTACAAATACAATCCCAAAAACAACACATAAACAGAGTTGTAGTGAAATACACGGGTATTCATATAAATGCACCGAACTCTGATATATGGTATCTGACCTTATAGCCGAAGTTCCCAAGACCACACCGCTGCAATTCAGAGCTGCTATAGCACTCTCGGCCTAAAGAAGTCAAATGGTAATGCACATCAGTAACATGCTTTTAAAATTCTCCATTGAGTCTTCACTATGATCTTTATATACCCTGTTTTCTTCAATTTTCTCTTTATTCACTAGGCTGATGATTTATAATAACTATTTTTCGATTCATCTACTAGGTTGAGACTTGACCAAATCAGAGTTTAATAAGTGCTGAATTATTTTCTATTTACATAGAAGTCAAAAGGCAGCTATACCACATCACTCACTATCCCAAATCCATCAGTGGCAGCATTACTAAGGTGACAGAGTTTATGAAATTGGTAACAAAACAGATTTATGCCAAAGTAAGCAGGCTCCCTCTGTCCCACAGACAATGCCCTTATGCCTTCTGTTGCACAACAAATATACGCCTACAAACCTCTGCCTATATTAGCCAACCTTTCAGATAGTTCAACTAGAAATACAGTACACAACATAGATGGAAACTTTCAGGAATTCCTCTATCATGGAGATTAGAAGTACAGCATGATATACTCTCCAACTGTTGCAAGTTGCAGGACAGACAACCACAAAGACATGAAATAAAAATATACTCTACTCTGTTGAAGAAAAATTTTAAGCACCCAAAAGTCACACTCCAGAAACACTAATTTAACCAACAGGGAACAGATGTACTTGATAGCAAGTAAATGTTAATATTTTTGATAGTTCAACATTTTAGGAAGCATGCTGACAGCAAGTGCCACAAGAAAAAAAGTTCAAAAGAGCATGTACTTTGTGCTGCATTTCATTAGAGTTACAGTGGTGGACAAAGAAGGATTAAGGGCATTAACCTAAACATCAATCAGAAAATTGCAGCCATAGTACTGCAGGACCACCTAATTTACATCCCAACATTCATCATCATGCAATTTACAGCTTCATGGCTTTTAGACATTTCAACTTATTACTTTCAAACGACAATGTCAGTGGTGATTGTGCTACACTTTCCTCTATAAGCTGAGCACAAACAATGCATTCAACAACTTTATAACCACATCAAACCTTGAAAAAAAAATTAAGAGAGCAGGAGTTAAAAATGATCTCACAGTAGCATTCAACATAATTCAGGAACACAACCTTTTAAATGACTGAAGGTAAGTTATATTGGAGGATAAATCCATTGTTAATTGGGATCAAAAATCACATTGTGCAGGCAACCTTACAATAAAGATATATACTGATAAGACTTTTATTGCATTAGCTAATTCCCACAGACGCCTCAAAAACAAAAAAGTGTATGGTTGAATTGATGTACATAATTTGACTTTTTATTCATCAACGTACAATGTTGGACCCTAATAGGATATATTGCCTATTCAATAAAATGAAAAATAAAAATTAAAAAATTAAACAAAAATAAGGCCTAGAACTACAATTTCTCTCAGTCAATGCTAAAGCTTTACTCAAAGGCAGCAATGAAATCTTGAAGTCTTACAACTTCCATAGCCGAAATTATGGGAGAATTAAGATATCAACTAACCAATTAGGTGAACAATGTTAGTAATGACGATCACAAACTTCAGGAAACAGTATTTGCAGGTGTTCAAGTTTAAAACAGAGCGCAATATCAAGGAACAACATTGTAAAAAAAATAAAAATAAAAAAAAAGGGGAACCAAAAAGAATGGAAAATGAAAATACTTACCATCTCAAACTCAACAAAACAAATACGAGTAGAATGGTGATGATCTCCAAGCATCCTTAAGCGACGAACCTGAACAAACAAGATTTGCAATTCAATAAAGACCCTAAACAAAAAGAAAGTAATACAGTAAATTTCCAGGCAAGACTAAGCCACAAACCTCTCCACAAATTGTCTCGAAAAATACTTTGATTTCAGTCTGTGAAACCTACACAACCAGAGTAACATACATTAAACCAGCATGCACATTTGACAATGAACGACAAAAAAACAACTGCAAGATAAGAAAAGGCACCTTCTTATCAATATTGGTGCAGTAAACAGTTCTTGCACACATTTCACGCTCATCGTCGTTCTGAAGTCAAAATTACCCACGCAAGTATAATATATTAAAATGGAGAACGAAGTAACAAACCAATAAGCCTAAAAGCAATATGAATGGTGATGGTGGCACTCACCTGGGGCAAAAATGTGGGGTTTACAGGAGCAATTGCAGTCTTAGAAGGCAGAACTTTGATCGGATAAAAGCCAAGCATAGTACCAGACAGACTCAATGCAGCCTGTGCACCTTCTGCAGCACCACACAACAAGTTGTTGTGTTAAATTTAAAAACTCAGTCTGGATTTTAAACAATAAAGACATGTTCAATGCTTTACCCTCATCTGTGAACTCAACAAAAGCGAAACGAAGAACAGAATTCGGGTCACCACAAACACGGCAATCCACCACCTAAGGGAGTATGATACAAGATACAACGCTATTCAGAACTAATGATAGAATTCAACAAAAACACAAAGAAAAACTACTGCTCATCGAATAATTTATTTTTAACATAATCAAAAGCAAATACAGCCAAAATAATACTGATAGAATTCGAGTCCATGAAATCAAATACCTGCCCATAGTTGATGAAAAGACCAGCCAGCTGCTCTTCAGTCACCTACCAAAAAACCCAGATATAATTTAGAAAATACAAAAAAGATTTAATTATTTCTTTCAATGAAAGTGATAGAATACCTGTTGATCAATATCAGAAACATAAACAGTCCTCCTAATAACTTCCTCCCTTTGTGCCATACCAGTTCGATTATTCGGCCTACGCTTTCCTTGACCATAATTAGTCTTCTTCTACACTCAAACAACCCATTTCAATAAAAGACAATCTTATCACACACAACAATAGATTCAACACCAAAAAAAAAAAACATTACTCGAACCTTTCTCAGATTAAGATTATTCTGAGGATTCGGGAAGATTCGAAAAGGATCATCCATATTAGGAGGACCAAAATTAGGAACAAACGATCGTGGAAATTGAGGGGGAAACTGATGCTGACTACTGAGAAGAGATGGCGGAACAAATTCTTGAGCACATGGGTTTAATTTCGATAACATTTCCTCCAATTCCCTCATTTCTCTGTTATGATTTTCATTATTGTTCGCGTTGTTGGTGTTGGTGTTGTTGTTGGAGGTCCGATTCATTGATGACCCGTTCTCAACACCCAAATCACCCTTAACACCATTTTCAACCACTGCCATTTCTTCTTCTTCCTAAGCTCTCAACAACTCTCCTTTTTCTCTCTCCTTTGAAAAATCCGCCTACCTAATTCAACCCATATAAAACCACATTAAAAACTATAGATTATAATACTGAATAAAAAATTAAAAAAAAAAAAAAAAAAATTTATAGATTTGATCGTATAAAGAAAATAAAGAAAAGGGTATTACCTGGGTTTATGAAAGTTTGAATGATCGAATGAACTACACACCGAGTGATTGATTTATTTGAAACCTAACCCCACCTCGAGATTCTTCTAAAAGAGGGGAAAGATTAAGAAAAAAAATAGGGGAATTTCTATTTTAATGAAAGTAAAAATTAGGGCATTAAATGAGAAAGTATTGAATTAAAATTAGAGGAGAGAGAAATTTTGTCGTGTTGGATCATAAGGTGAGAGGGGAGCAGAAGATCAAGTTTGAGTCTGCTACAAATCCTTCCAAAAATGGCGAAAATCGCTTCCTTTTTCAGAACCTACTCACCATTTTTTTTTTATGGTTATTATTATTATTATGATTGATATTTAAAAATAGGAAATTTTGTAAATTAACACCCAAAAAGAGGTCCAGTTTTAAAATTACCACCCATTAAAAACTTTATTTTAAATAACCATCCATTAAATTAATTAATCTTTCAGATTACCACCCATTTTGTTTTTTCGGTTGAAAATCCGTTTGAGGGGCCCACATAACTGCTATTAACGGCTAGTTTGACTTAATTGACTGGGTTTCTCCTCGATTTTTCGTGTTTATATATTTCCCAACTACAATTACTTGGAAAAAAAAATATATCTCCAATTAACAAATTCTTCCCCTAATTTCTTCCAAATTCCCCAAATTTGAACTGGTATTGTGCGACGAATTAATCCATTGAAGTTCAGACCCAATTGAATTCGCATTTGAGGTAAGACTCCTGAACTTTAAAAATTAGGGTTCCTGGGTAAATTTATTTGGGGGATTTTGCAATTAGGTTTCGTGGAAGTAATTAATTGGGTGTTTATGTTATTTTTCTGGTAATTGGTGTTGGTGTTGTCCAAATTTGGTGAATGATTGTTTATTAGGTTGAATAATGGTGTCAAATGTGTTGTTTTTTTTAAAAGAAAGATGTGAATGATTCATTCATGCATGAAGTTGTAAGCTTGGTTTTGTGTTATTTTTTGTTGAATGATGTCTTGCAGAAATGGAAAGAGGGGATAAGTACATTTTCAGATTTAAGTATTTTAGTTTTGTTGTGGACCTTGAGTATGAAGTAGGCAACAGTAACTTACAGGATACAGCCATAGCTTTCGAAGATCAACTGCGTGACATGGAAGATCCAAGTGAAGGATCAATTGATCTTCTTTATCCTATATTTCAGTATATCTATAAAGGGAAGTATAGGACTTTAGAAGATGATGGTGATGTGTTCAAGATGATTAGGAGGTTGGGGAATAAGGATATGTACATCATACATGTTGGGAGCACAGATGACCCAGGGTTCTTAGCTGACTGTATCATTGAGTACAGGATGAAACAGAATGGGACTTGGCCACCCCCTGGTTATCCTCATTATGGGGGTCAACCACCACAGTGACTAGGTGTGCTTGTCTTAGAATAATATAATTGCTTGTGTTTGCTGGAAATGTTGCACAGACTGAGTTGTTGCTTTGTAAATGCAGGTTAGAAAATGTCTTAGAATAACACATCTCCCACTAACCAGAAGAAATGCAATTGTGGACTGCCCTTTGCTAGGTTGACATCTTGGACCAGAGAGAACCCAGGAAGGAAATTCAAGGCTTGCAAATTCTATGACCCTAACACTGAAACTAGAGGGTGCAAGTGTTTTGAATGGATTGACACTGAAGATGGAACTGAGTGGCAAAGAGATGTGATCAACAATCTTTTGCTTGACAAAAAATTGATGAAAGCTGAAGTGAACTATCTGAAAAGGGATGTTGATGACTTAAGTGGGCAGAGAAGGTGTCTTCTTAATGAGGTGGATACATTGATAGTGAAATGCAAGGCTTTAAGTGGAGATAGGAAGAAGATGCTCAATGGCAGTGGCAATCCTGATAGCAAGCTAATGATTGTTGTAGTTGTTGTTTGGTCCTTAATTTTAGTTTTAGGTTGTGTTGTAGTTAATAAACTGGTTTAAGGGAGGTGTAGTTGTTGTAGTAGTTGTTGATTATAATGTTGAACTTGTTATTTTAGTAATGGAATGAACAAGTATTTCTGGTTTATTTGGCTTATGTGTTATGTTTGCTGATGCTTTTTATTAGCTTCCTTATTTGTTGATTGTTCTGTAAAAGAAAAATAAAAGGAAATAGAATATGGGCACACCACAATTTAATCAACACAGTTGCAGCTAAATGAATTAAGTATTTGGGCAAAGTTTGTCCAAACCAAACTGTCAATGTCATTGAAACAGCATCCAAGATTACACAAGTCACAAAATACAACCTAACACTACCACCTTCTAATTACATACTATCCAAAATATGAGAAACTAACACTACCACCTTCTAATTGGTACCACCTTGAATCTTGTATTTGATTCAAGTTGGAACAGTGTTAGCATAAGTAGTTGTTGAGGCTTGGCTTGGTTGACTTAAAGGTTCTTGCTGGTGACTCTACTGAGTCTGCTGACTTTGTTGCTCCTGCTGTTGTTGTTGTTGTTGTTGTTGCTTCTGCTGTGCTTTCTGCTGCTGCTCCTTCCTATATTGCTCTTGAGGGAATGTCCTGTTCCCAATGCTGTTAGGTCCAGCAGTAGCACCTAGTGCACTTTCCTAAATTTGGCATACAACAGAACAGTAGTTAGAAACACATATCAGCTAAGTACTAAAAAAAATAAAAATCCACTTTGCTTTTAGTGTTACCTTCTGCAATGCTCTGAGGTTTTTCTTCTTTCTTTGTTCTTTCACCCAGTCACTATCAGATTGGGGTCTACCTCCTCCTTTTTTTGGTGAAGAAACTGCTAGTGGAGTAACTGTAGGGTTCTTGCAAGTTTTTTCATAGTGACCTTGCTGCCCACAGTTGTTGCAGGTACTCCTCCTTTTCACAGGCTTTTGCACAGATTGGCTTTGGGCACCCTTCTCTCCCTGCTCCAGCTTTCTTTTCTTATATTTAGGTCTTCTAGGCTGGATCTTGATGGCTGGTGGCATAGGTGCTCTGAGGTTGACCTTGTCTCAATGGGTGGTAATTTTAAAACTGGACCTCTTTTTGGGTGGTAATTTACAAAATTTCCTTAAAAATAAAAATTTGTCATGAATTTTTGAGTATTGGAAATATGAGGAAAAGGGATGCCAAGTCTAAAGGTGACATGTGGTGGGATTTGATTGGTGGACGTGATGAAGTGGGTTTTGGAGGGTGAGAGAGAATAATGGATGAATAGATGACGCATGCCATAATGTCCCATGCTAATATATGATTTAGAGATGATATTAATTAAATTGTGTTGATTATCAAGTGATAATTGGTGTAATTGGGAGTGGTTTCACTTTATTATTACCTTAATTAAATGTAGAGTATATGCTTTTCAGTTACATTGTTGGATCTAAAATTGTAGCGAAGGAGTTCCGATTTATCTCCTAGATAAATATATGGGGTAAAATTATAATATCACACGCAAGTAACGTTACATATACACGTACAAAATTTACATATTTATTTAAACTTTTTCTCATTTGTGACTAGTTAGCTTGTGAGAAGTTCGATCTAATAGGAATTTTTCCTTATAAAAATAATGATTATTCGATTTTGCATGATTTAAATAACACACAATGTTTTTCCTTGTTACAAAAATAAGTCCAGCTTAATTAACTATTCCGTATAACTCATACTCTATGTTGACATGGAGTACTTAGATTTAGTTAAATTAATATTTTGTTTAGATAAAACTCGATTTATTCTATTTGATTAAGGGTTTAGGGTAGGTAATTTTAGACCTTGTTTGGTTCCAATAGGAATTAAATTCCCATAGTAATTTACAATTTATGGTAATTTAGGCCTTGTTTTGTTTGGTAATTTACAATTTATGGAAAATTATTTTTTTTACCAAATTCTTAAAAAATTGTTTTAGTTTGTTTTGTTTGGTGGGCATTGGAAAAAAAAATTACAATTCTTAGGAAATTTGGATTGTGTTTGGTAACTAGCTTATTTGGGCAAAATTAGCTTATTTAACCAACATTAGCTTATTTAGCTAATTCAAGGTGTTTGGTGGGAAGCTTATTTAAAGAGCTTATTCCACTAAATAAGCTCTTTTTCAAAAAACTCCTAGAAGGAGCTTTTTCAATTAACTTATTTAATTCTTATGGTGAAATAACACTTATACCCCCATTTAATTTAAAATCCTATATGAACTACCTATCCCACAATTAGCTTATTGGTCATTTCACATAATCAATCAGCTATTTATCAAACACTTTTATACAATTAGATTAGTCAAGTCAATTAATACAATCAGTTAGTTAAAATCAACTAATACAATTAGCTTCAACTTTCAGCTTTCAGCTTTTCCCTAAACACGGCCTTAAATTATCTAGGGGAAGGTGAGTAAATAAACTCTGACATTATGTGAAAAATTGAAATTAATGTCTAGGAATTTCAATTTCCTCTAGTTGCACTTTTTTGGTTAAACCAAATAACACAATCTTTAGTATATTTCATAAGAATTATGACTATTATGAGTGCCTTGATAAAATTGGTGCAACTAATTGCCATGGTAATGATATAGTTTTGTCATACCATTTAACCCATCATTTGTATGTGATACTTTTAATTGTTGAGTGCATACAAAATAAATGGGTAGGAAGGTAGTACTAAAGCGGTGTAAAAAGGAATGGAAAATGGATGAGTTAGGTTAACCAACTCGTGACTAGTTGTTCTGTAGTACTGTATAACTTAACTAGGTGGCGGTACACTTGGGCTAGTAGTGGCCTATTGCGATTGCTTACTGCAATAGTGCACCGCACCCTTACACACACATACACCCACCTCATGCCCTGATGGTACTTGCTAGGTTGTAGCATGCACAGCTGCTGTAGCCTGTAGGAGGACAAGGCAGCTTTCTCTGTCCCTGCACTCCTACAGTCCTTCCCACCCTTTTTGTCTTTTACTGACTTTACTCATACACTCATACTTTTCATTGGATTGGACCTCAACCTAAACCATTTCCAAAACAATTCATCAACATGGCAATAAATCTTGTCCCCTTTTAGTCCCAACTAGCCCCCCCCTTTTTTTTTAAAGGGTGTTCCGCTAACCCAACTTTATTAATTATAGGTACTGATTATAAAATAGAAATTTCTATAAAATCTATAAAATTGTAATTTTTAAGAATTTTTAAAAATTGTTTGGTTAGATGTAGGAATACTTACCTATAGGGGACTAGGTAATTTTTCCATTTTGTGGAAAGTAGAACTTTCTAGGTTGTCCCAATTCCTACATTATTGTCAACCAAACAAGTATACATATATTCATTTTTTAGGAAATCAAACTTCCCATGAATTTGTTTGTCAACCAAATAAGGCCTAGGTTTAGATAGAAAGCTAGTATCTGAATTCAAACAATGGTCTCAGATCATTACATGAAATTAAACTATTAACTTTTTAATCAGGTGCCCTTCAAAGTTGGGATTATTCAGAAATAATCGAAAGTTATGATTATTAGTAGTATATGGCCCAAAATTGGAATGAATAAAACCAATTTTTCCTATTTTCAAAACCTTGTGTATTTACACATGTTACGTGTATACTCTCTATTTCACGAGGTGTAACTATGTGTAATTACCTATTAGTGTGTCATAAATTAATCAAACTAATGTGTTTAAGAATCAAGACTATGAAGAAGGGAAATTTAAATTGATTTGGTTGAAATTATTTCATCTTGCATTACCTCTTACACATAATTTCAATTCGGTGACAAATGTCATGTATGTAGTAGGTTCTTTATGTTTAGCCTATTGTGATATCATTTCTCTTTAATATGTTTCTCTTTGAAATGATTTTTTTAATTTCTACTACTTAAATGACGAGATTTTGGAAATTTGGAGTAGTATTTCATCCTGTAAGGCATGTCGAAGTTATAAGAAATGTTTCTCATCACTATCCACTTTAAATATCACTACTATCATAGATTCATAGTATTAAAATGTAGTGTTGTCAATTTCAAGGATTTGTACACCTCTATGGAGAATCTGTACACCTCCATGGAGCAATAATCGTTCTATTAACCGAATATTTACTTTAAGTTTTCTGTATTGCGTATTTAATTAGTATTTTCAATTTATATTATATAATTAACTTATAATTTTTCGAAATTGTCTTATCATGAATCGACAACAAAGAATTAAGAGCATGAAATAACATGAGTACGTGTAAGTGATTACACAGATTGATGTGTGCCGGTATAAGTGTTTGTTTGGTTTACGAGGGAATTCAATTTCCATGAAAAGTAATTTTCCTTATTCCTAGGAATTGACCATAATTATCTTGGCTGACACCAAAGTAAATTCCAATTCCCATGAATTTATATTGACTAAGGGGATGATAGGTAAATAAATTCTCATGTTTTGTGGAAAATCAAATAACCTAGGAATTTTTATTTCCTCCGTTTCTTCTTTTTAATTCTGACCAAACAACTACATATTCAAAATTGTATTTCCCATTAATTTCAACTTCTCCCATTTTTTTGTTTGACCAAACAAGCCAAGATTATGAGGGGAGCACTACCTTTTAAAATTCTTTTTTGCTATTGGGTGATTATTGTAAGTGAATTAGGTTGAAAGTTCTTGAGTGAAACACAAAATGTTAAAGAAAATAAAAGTGAGAGATCTGTATTGATAAAATTCAAATTTTCTCGTTGTTTATTTTTGGAAGTACTACTTGTTTGAGACGTGGTAAGTGGGTTGTGGGCTTCTTATTTTTTTGATACTCGTTTTCTCTTTGACGGTTCATTGTTATTAGAATATTATATCAATTACAATATTTATTCTTTTGGTTGTTGGGTTTTAATAGCTATTAGGATCCCTTGATTTTAGCTTCCTCTTATTGCTGCTTAATGTTGTTGTTTAATTGCTAGCCGTTACACCCTTACTGTTACGGGGGATTCCTGGTCGTTTAGCTCCCTCCATTGCTATATAAAAAGGTTCTTCACCTCCGAAACAAATAGCCAAAAAATTAAATCAACAATTTTCTTTTTCCTTCTCTTGAAATATTCTTTCGGTTTACGGGCAAATATCTTGAGTTCTAGTCAGGTTTGTGAGTGCATACAAACGCTGGCGCCATGCTTATCCTGGAGAGCGACCGCTTAATGTCTATTGCACCTAGCGTGAAATCGTCTTTTAGGCCAATGATCCACCACGACGCGACAATTGTCAGTTTTTTCTACACAACATTGAGATAAGTATTTATCGTTTTAATTGCTTAATTACTAACAATAATGCGCATTAGGTACAAATATATCTTTTATGATCTTAGACCATTCTCAGCAGTGAGGAAAAAAAAAACCTCTCAATCTCTCTCTACCCACTTTCTCACTCCTCCCATACAATTTCTCTCATCAAATGTTTTTTTCACCACAACAATGAGGAGAAAAAAAACCTCTCATCACTTTCTCCTCCACTATTTTTTAATTTATTTTTTAATTACGTTTAAAAATAATTTAATAAAAATTTATAATTACGTTTAAAAATATTAATAATACTAACTAGAATTTTTTTTTATAAGAAATAATTATAATAATAATAATAACAAGAAGAAATTGGGAAAATATGTTAATTTCTCTAATTTATGGGTTTTTTTGAAAGTATATCAAAATGCATGTCTATTTATAGAGAAAAAAATTTTATGGTCGTTGGTGATTTTTTTTTTTTTTTTTTTAAAATAATTACAACGGTTATATTTCAAATACAAAATATAACCGTTGTAAAAAAACAACAAAAGCAGTGGGGGCCACATGTTACTGTTCATCACCAAAAGCCCTCAACTCTTGAGGGTTTTTATTTTCACTCATCGGTGAGTGTTTTTTCACTCACTGATGTAGTGTTCGGATTTTTTTTTTACACCCTTATTTTTTACTCGTGAGGGCTTTTCTCCTCACTGCTGGAAGTGCTCTTATAGTCTACATTAACAGGGTAACACTTACTTTTGACATAACCATGGGCGGATATAGTTAGCACCAAGGCTATGCACTTGCGTATCCCTAGGTGTTAATATAAAATCTTGTTGAAGAGGAAGTTGAGTAAATAAGTGAGTGCAGCTTGCTGGTTAAATGAGTATGTCTTAAGAGTAATTGGTGGGATCTTTGTTAGTCTTTAGTTCGAATCTAGTTAACCCATTTCTCTTTTTTCCCCCATTATTTACGACATGTGTCAATTTATTTCCTATCAACGTGTTTTTCAGCCTATTTATGCTCTTCTTATTAAATGTGGATTTATATTTTAGTGATAACAATTATGGACTATTATTGTTTTTTCATTAAATGATTCAAATGTAGAAAAAAAAATATTACTACCTATAAGGAAGTAGCTACAAGTAATATATACGGAGCATAAGACAATGAAAGCTGGTTTGGATTAGTGTGCATATTCTAATCTTAAATTCTGAATCCGCCACTAAATATAACACAGGTAACTACAATATTATTACATATCAAAAATAACATTTGATGTCATCAATTTCCTATGCAAATGGAACTTTTACAAACATCAAACAAATTCATTCGATAAACTAAAAACCAAAGCAGGAATAGTTGTATGACTTGTATCACATTTGGTACAAATTTGTATCGTAGTATATAAAGTTGCTTAAAGATAATTTTTCTTCATTTTTCTTTATATAACATTCTTGTGTAGATAACACTTTAAATTTTAAGGTGGAATGTAAAAGGGTCTGACATGCGCATATCTCACACACATGCAATTGATTGATGATAGTTCACAGTTGTTCACATGCCTTATAACTAGATTAGATGTTCTTGTACTATCACCGATGTTTCTTAGGATCGTTATTATTATTGTAGTCTGTATATAATTTACCATGTGCCAAAAAAAAACAATAATTAGCTACTCATTTTTTTAATCTCTTAGACCATCTTTATTGTGATACTCAACTTTAAGTATTGAAATATAAAATAAGTTGTTTTTTTACCTCTATTGGTCAGGGGCGGACTTGGCCTTGTGCCTGGTGGGTCAAATGACTCACCAGGGCCCAAAACAATTTCTAAGTTTTTTTTTTTTTTAAAAAAAAAAAAAAAAATTATTAGTTTGTTAATTTTAGTCTTGTCAATTTTAAGCTTGTTAAATGCTAGTTAGTATTGTAATCTTGTCAATTTTCTATTTGGATGATCTTTGTAAATAATTTTTTTTGGGAATTTTGGTAAATTTTTTTTTTTTACATATTTGGTTATCGATTGTGAGTTTGTGACTCACCGGTCAGAAATTCCTGGGTCCGCCACTGCTATTGGTGATACCCAACCTGTTTCTCAATTTAACAACTCATGTAAAGTCTAATTTTCCAATGGTGAAACTCTCCAAAGTATACTAATGTTACTTTCAATTTATGGACCACCAAATCTATATTGTAAGTTTTTTATTTTTCTTAAAAAAAATAAAACTTAAATAAATTACAAAATATATTATAATATTGATAAGGGGCCACCTTTTTGTCAAATGAGACTCAAAGTTGGGTAATTAAACTTAGCAACTCTAAAAGAAGTTGCTAAGTTTAAATACCAACTTATTGGTATCTTTTGCAAAAAATACTTTCTCTCTCTTAAAAAAAAACTCCTCATTTCTCACCATTGGAGATGGTTTTATCTCAATTGTTTTTGAATTTTAATAAAAAATAAAAATAAAAAATTGCTGTATTAAATTTGTCAATTTCAATTTCCAAATTTCTTCAAATTTCACGCAATTATTTCACGTGATTTCCCCCCATTTTACCCAAGGAAACAAAAAAAAAATAAAAATAAATTAAATGGACCCAGTCCACCGCGCACACCTTCTTTCGCCTCTCTCTCACATCTCAGCGAGCAGCACCTTACCTCTTACCAAACCACTTCCCACCCTTTGCTCGCCAAAAAAAAAAAAAAAAACCATCGTCTTTCTCAGCCGCCTTTCTCCGGCGACCGGAAACAGGCGACCATTCAACGCCGACGATATTTGACACCAAGGTAACCGCAGCTGCAACTCGACGCTCCCTTCTTTCGGTGGTTTTTAGCCCTAATGTTCAATTCTCAATTATCTCCAGTTGATTCCCAAAGTTTAGGGTTTTTCCGATTAAACCCTAGATCTGAAAAACCCTGGATTTTCTTCACACAAAGCTGAGATTTTACTCCTTTAAATTCTGAATTCATAGAATAGAATTACAATTCACAGTTGGTCGAAAACTATGAAGAGCAGGTCGAATCGTAACCCGACATCCGACCCGCCGGATGACTGGGTAGACGGTTCATGGACAGTGGATTGCATTTGCGGCGTGAATTTCGACGATGGAGAGGAGATGGTGAATTGCGACGAGTGTGCTGTTTGGGTTCACACTCGTTGCGTTCGTTTCGTTAAGGGGGAGAAATCATTCGCTTGTGATAAGTGCAAGAGTAAAGGTAGTAGGATTAACAATGATAGCGAAGAGACCGAGGTTGCGCAATTGCTCGTTGAATTGCCCACCAAAACAATCAAGATGAGTAGTGGGAATAGTAATGTTTATAGTACTAGTAATTCTTATGGTTTTAGTAATCATCCTCCACCTCCGCCCCCACCTCGAAGACCGCCTTATCGATTGTGGGCGAAACCGATGGAGGAGAGGGTACATGTGCAGGGGGTTCCTGGGGGTGCTGATGATCCTAGTCTTTTTCAAGGGTTTCCTATACTTTTTGGGTCGGAGTTGTGGAAGTGTAGTGGTTATGTTCCTAAGAAATTTAATTTTAGGTATAGGGAGTTTCCCTGTTGGGAGAAGGAGCAGGATGATGGGGAGGATGAGGCGAAAGCGGATGGGAGCCCTGAGAATGTGATTGATAGAGGGGCCGGTGTGTTGTACTCTTTGTCGAAAGAGGGTGGGGTTGTTAGTATGAGGGGAGGTCAGTCTAAAGGTGGTGGTTCTGATAGGAAAGGTTCTAAGGATAGGAAATTGGAGAATGGTGAATCTAAGAAGTTGGGTTCGCCTGGTTTGTCGAAGAAAGAAAAGGGTATAGGTAGGTCGATTGTGGTACATTGTAGTAAGAGAAGTAGAGAAGATTTGGGGTCGTCGAAGGATCGTGGTGTGAAGAAGAAAAGTAAAGCTAGTCATAGAGAACAGGATGATGTGAAGAAGAGTAAAGTTCAAAATTTTAAAGCAGGTAATGGCTGGAACTCTTAATGCTGTTTTTATTGATATACTAAATTTGCTAAATGTGTTTTGCACTATGCACAATTTCTTGCTCATTGATTTTGCTATTGTGTTTTTATTTTTATGTTAGTTGTCATACATTCAACTAGTGCTAGGCAAGCTGAAGTGTGTGAAAGCAAATCTCACAAAGTAGCATCAAATGGTAGCCTATCTGAGGGTAGTAACATAGAAAAACCCAAGAGAAATGCTGCTACTGATGAGGGAAATTTGATACTTAGGTCCCCAGAGGTGGCTGGACTTGGGTGTTCAATTGAAAAGAGGGTCAAAGCAGAAAAGCCTGGCCATGATGCTACTGATAGTTCTCAGAAGTCTGCTAAAACCGATGCAGTCGTTGTGGAGAAGGACAACAACACAATTAGTCCTATAAAGAAAGAGGTATGTTGGCTGATTAAGGTCTTCCACTGTGCTTTATGCCGTTGAACATGTTATTTTTTTTTTTTGCTTATGAGTTATGACCACATGATTATGTCTTTCATTGGCATAGAATAGTATCCATGATATCATGGTATAATAAACTAAAGGCTCCCTATGCAATATTACACAATATCTTTGTTAATGTTTATTGTTATTCTGTAGCTAAGAGTCTGGGTGTGTCTTTTCACCCATGCCCACTTGTTCCCAAATTATATGGTTTAGAACTTATTGTAGTTGTAGATTGAACCTTGTGCACTTATTGGAACTTATCTTTGGAAAACAGCCTTTGTATTAGTAATTGGACTTAATGTGCTGGCAAAGAAGGCTGGCTTTTGCTTTATTAATGTTTCAAATCATGCTTTACATGTTTAGCCACATGAAATTTCGCATAGTAATGAAAGATTTCCTAGGCTTTAGACTCTAGAGTGATTTGCTTATGAGATTGCTGAGTAATTAGAATTATTGCCTCTGTTCTGTACTTCTGTTTATTGTTCTTTGTGGGATATCTGAAAAGTCTTTCCTAGTTTTAGCAAAGCTTTGTATCAGATGATAACTGTTTCACTCATTATCCCCATAGCTATGTTGATTGGGTTCCAATGGATATTTGATACGGGTTTTAGGTGCGTATATGACTCATCAAGGCTCATAACGGCTTATAGTGGCTCGAACTTTTAGGACTTGGAGAGTCGTGACTATGTCCTAAGTTTGGTCATGAGTGTCATAGCTTATACACTCCCTGAATATCCATTGATCTGAAAGGATGATGCACTTTTTAAGCATAAGAGTGCTTGAAATTCCAAATTTCGTGGGTTCTTGGTTCAACTTATTGCCTATAATTAGTTGTTTGTAGTAACAATGGCCAAGATTGGTGCTAATAGCTGATAAACACCATGGAATTTAGATTCAATCCTAATGGTTGTGTTTGCTCTGCTTTGGTTCACTGTGGACAATTGGACATCCTTATATCACAACCGTGGGAAATTTCAACAAATTACTATGTAATCGTGATGTGGCCGCATGGGTGACATATAAATCCATAGTTTCATAGTTTGATACAGATCACACCCATATTTTGAGATCTGGTGTGTACTTATGTTGAGATGGATTCTGCCACATTGCCAGAATTTGTTGATTTTGATATTATTACAAGTACAAGCATCAGAAAGTATTCTCTATATCACCTCCTCAGGTGACATTGAATTTAGGTCTCAAAAACTTTATATGACTATCTCTTAAGCTCCAATGGTGATACTCTAGTTCTATACTTCTATATAATTACTTGTATTAGAGACTCAATTGTCCAATGGTAACATTCTTCCATATAAGTCTTTAAATTTATTTTCGCATAAACATTTGATGAAGTCTTAATATTCTTTATTTGATAAAAAGAAAAAAAGAAAACATTCCATTTTTTACAGGATGAAAACTATTATAAAGTATTTAAATATGTTAACTATTCTCAATCTGCTACTTACCTGGGGCCTGGGGGCCTCTCTTCTGACAACATTCTTCTCTAAAGCAGTGTTTGTTATTAGATATGTTGATTTCACACTATTACTTAAAGTTGTTGTTAATGAGGGGATTTGTTTTTTTTTTTTTTACAAAATGTGTATCAATGTAATGTGAATAAATGTTGATAGGATGAAATTGTACTCTGTATATGGTAATCTTAGAGGACATTAATATGATAATATCAGGCAAATCCAAAAAGGGTTAGTGCATACAGATTTTTTAAAGTAAGAAGCACTTTTAATATAAGCGTAATACTATCCTTATTAGTTGTCAGCTTTTCAAGCCCCTAAGACCGATTCCTTTTGGACTCGTAATTTTGGATGGGAGGATCAAGTCCTCGCTCGTCTGGGGCAATTACAAAATATTAATACATATTTTATTTAGACACTTATCTTTACAAGGATACTTTCCATTGCCCCAAATGAACGAGGACTTGAAACTCCCATCCAGAACTACGGGTCCAAAAGGAGAAACTTGTTGTTTGCGAGTTAAATTTGTGTGGCAATACCACAAAAGGACGATTTGTGGTGGTTGTTCTGCTATAGTTCATATGCTAATTGTTTGTGCATTATCTTCTTTTGTTTTTCCCTAAGAAAAATAATACTTCCTCTGTTCCACAAATATTGCAATAAGGATGAAATCACGCATCCCTAAGCACATTTTATATGTTAAATATCTATAATTCTATAAGAGTGAAAATTATAAAAAGTTGATATTATGAAAGTATTTTATGAGACGAATCTAACAAAACCCCACATGACTATATTTTACTTTACGTATACATCATGATGAATAGTGCAAAAGTCCAATTGTTGCAATATTACTAGAACGGAGAAAGTATGAATTTAACTAATATAGTTCAGCAATAAGTTTTAAAAACTAACATGAGTAGTGTAAGTATGACTAATTTTGAGTTTATTATACAATTTGCATCATATGACCTTTTGTATCTCTAGTAGGGTTACCAAGTGAGCCCTATGGTGTTTCGTGTCTGATGGATGGGCTATCTATTTTATAATTATGGAGTGTATATTATCAAGCCTTGGAAAGTGATGACTGATTGAGCCACTTTGGCTGTAAATTTGTTTCTAAGATTTGAGTTCCGAGGCAATTGACCAAAGTATGCCCCAAGACTCTTTCACGCATGTCCACATATTTCTGTTCGTTCATGGAGGCTTTAACACTTGTTCACTCATCTACTCACATGCATTGTGCTTGCAAGGACTGACGTACAAGATTTTTTATGTGGTTTTTAAAATACTTTCTTGACGACAACCTTCAAATGGTCTTCATCTTTGAGTATGACTGGCTATGCGTCCAGTTTCTTCACTTTCGTTTCTCATCTCATTCAATTATGACAAAGTAGATACTTTACTTACCATTCCTTTCCCCTCTCCAAATTTCCTCATTTAAACATTAAGTAAAAGGGAATTGGAACTGTCGCATGTCGCACATACGATATTACGTTGTATGTTCAGTTAGGATCAAAAGGAGTATGATTAGTACCCTTCACTATGAAGTGATTAAATAAAATGCATTCTTAGTTGTTTATCATGCCTGCCTTCTTGCTGTGCCCCTAATGCCGATGCTGCTACTTCCCAGGTCATTAGAGGTAGCCGTTTCCTCTTCTAATACCCCTGACTCATTTTCTGGCTAATGCTCTTAGAGACAATTTAGGATGAAATGGTAAATTGGCAAGGAAAGCTTAGCATGTGATTGTAGCTTTTTACTCTCATAGCATTTATCTTTGCAGAGCAGATAATTGATTGAGTGGGGATTGGGGAGAGTTTTTTTTAAAAGCTAATAGCAATATTTTCAATCTCTTTTTTTGTCCACCCCCCCACCTCCCCTCCTTTGTTGGTAAGCTTATTGTACATCCTCTTTTTTTAAGATGCATCACTGTTTTATTTAGAAGTTTCAATATACATGCATCACTTTCCTTTTTAGTAAATAAATTCTCTCTCTCATCTCCTAAAATTGCGTCAGAGTCCGTGATTTTAAAAGTGATGCATTAAAAAAAAAAAAACAGAGGAAGTATTATAAATTTATAATAATAGGAGTAATAAATGGTAATATCATTGCAATTTCAGCTCTATATGTGTAAGTCAGTTTTTTTCTAAGACATTCAATATAAGAAATTCAAACGTTTAAGTAGTCTCCGCTACATTTCTATCCTTGGCTCTCACTTGTGCCATTTTGATTATGTTCTGCTGTAGAAGAATGATTGCATTGTTACCTCGTTGTCGGCTTATGTTTCTCTATTAATAGCCTTACATGACTGCTTTACAATGCGATTGCTGATTTTTCTTATATTTGCTAGGGACTTGTTTTAGATGTCATGGATAAAAATCAAGGAGTGCTGCCAGTTGTTCCAGAAGGCCGAACTAGTGATATTTCGACGCTAAAGCCTATCACTGAAGATGTAGATAATGCTAGGGTTGAAGTTAATAATACTGGGGTTGCTAAGGATATAGAGACTACTGTGACTTTGATCTCTGGACATTGTGCTAGTAAAACAGAATCAGATATTGATAATCCTAATGGGGTTTTGAGGAGTCATCCTTCTGATATTGATGTGGAGTTACATTGTTCTGAGCAAATATCATCTCCTGATCGAGAATGTGAGGACTTCAAACGGAATGAGGCTGTTGCAACTAGTTCCCAGCCCCTTGGGCAAGAGGTTCAAGACAATGGAAAAACTTTTGAGGCACTGAGTGGCAATCAGCTCGTGAAAGATGAAGAATTAGTGGAAAATCAATGTAATAACAAAGTGAATTGTGAGGGTTTAGAAAATTCCGTTGAGGTGCAAAGAACACTTTCTGACATTAAAGAAGTTTCAAAAGTTACAGGTGAGATATCAAAATTGAGTGGGGAAATCCGACCTCCACCAGCCAGTTATCATAAAACAGTGTCTGTTGGAAAATCGTCGCCAAGCTCTTCAACTATTGTCATCTCTAGGTCTTGTCTTTCTGATAAAAATAGGGCTGGAAGCTCACAGAATCATAGTTCCATTGGCAAACGAGCGTTGTCAAATTTGAGTATGGGTACTAAGAAGGAAAATGCACCTCTTGGTCAAGCTAAAGATGAAGATAAATATGAAAAAACAAAAAGCATGTTTAAAGATCAGTCAAAATCTTCTACCAATGCTGTGTTGAAGGCATCACAGCCAAGCAAGCCTCTGACAAGTCCTAGTCTTAAACATCATACTTCTCTAGGAAAGGATTCATCAAGGCATTTATTTTCAAAAAAGTCCTCCACTGATGGTGCCTTGCTTCCTTCAAGTACTGACAAGACTGCTGCGACACAGCAGACTCAACATGCTTCAACTGGGCAAAGTAAAAATACAGCCTCTGCTGGACAACATAGAGGGGAAAAAGTTCTTCAGCCAAACTTGCAGTCATCCAAGTCAACTCAGTCATCTTTGGGTCACCTGCCACCTTCGTCAAGTGCCCCTGCTGGATTAAGTGATGAAGAGGTCAGAATAAAATAATTGTCTACTTTCGATATAGATATAAGTATATATTTATTTTTTACTACATATTATCTTTTTCTTTCTTTTTTTATTGATACACAAGCTGTGCCTTACAATTTTCGGGTTTTGTATTGCAGCTTGCTTTGCTCTTACACCAGGAACTTAACAGTTCCCCCAGAGTTCCTCGAGTACCACGTGTACGTAATGCTGGGAGCTTACCTCAGTTATCTTCTGCCTCTGCAACAAGCATATTTAACAAGCGCAGTGCTAGTTCTGGAGGGAAAGATCAGCAGACAGTAAGATGCTTCCTTTACTATAGTAATAAATCTTCCAATGACTTTTATTATGTCTGTATTTTCTTTCCTGGAGCTTGATAGTGGTGTTAAGCATCTTTGCTTTATATGCTTTCATCTATGACTATTTTGTCCTTGCATCAATTTAAGCATCTGATTGTGTGTATATATGCTGTGCTAGTTTTCAAGAAGAAAGAACAAGGATGGGTCTCGCAATTCTCGTGATCTAGATAATGAAGCTAGGAAGGTAGACAGGGCACCTTCATCTCCTGATTCCGTAAAAACATCTGATGCAACTCAAGCAGAATGTGAGTCAATACATTCTGTGAGGAAGAATGGCGAAGATGTCTCCACATCAGCAGCAAATAGTGGTCCATCCTCCACTGATGCTAATGAGCGGAAATCATCATCTACGCGTGATTCCCCTGTCAATAAGCCTGAAGATGATACAGGCACAAATAAGGGCCTTGCTCCAATTCATCGCACTCTGCCAGGTTGCTGCTGTAAAATGTGATAAATTTTTATTTTATTAATTTTTTTGATTTTTGATTCCAAAATAATGTGGCATCACTAATGGTTGTTCTTTTCTTTTTTTTTTTTTTTTTTTTTTTTTTTTTTTTTTTTTTTTTCCGACACTTGTAGGACTAATTGCTGAAATTATGGGCGCGGGCAGGCGTATGACATATGAAGAATTGTGTAATGCTGTCCTTCCGGTGAGTTCCTACAGTTTGTATGATGCTTTAATGTGTTTAATATACTATTACAGGTCAAGCGGATGACTCTGAATCTCTGATGGCTTTTTGCTGATTAACCTTTACAGCATTGGCAAAACTTGAGAAAGCACAATGGCGAGAGGTATGCCTACTCCAGTCATTCTCAAGCTGTACTTGATTGTTTGAGGAACCGGTCTGAATGGGCACGATTGGTTGATCGTGGTCCCAAGGTATGTTATCATCCCAATAAATCAATTGCTTTTTCTCTTTTTATGCTCACTTTCGTCTTTATCACTCTTGCTGTTATTTTCGGTGACCAATTACACCAAGACGACTTGTAGATTTTTCATTACATGTCCAAAATCTGGAAAAGTTTCAGCTGAAACCTATATTGTGACCCTTGAATTTTTGGATTTTCTAATTCAGCATATCCCTCTCTGCTAGCTATTAATGACTAATTAGCAGATATGTCACATGCATATGACTGTTCTAGTCTCTACAATAGCTGCTTGCTGGAGATGGAGATGGTTAAAATTATTGATTATATATTTTGGCCATGTGGAGGATTATAGGTGCTTCATTTTACTAATGATTAAAGGTTTTTTTTGTTTCCTTTTCCCAGACTAGTGCAAGTCGAAAGAAGCGCAAGGTTGATGTTGAGCCTTCTAATACCGAGTCAGAAGATGGTGAGGACAGAACTCGTAGAACTGGTAAGAGCAAGAGTTTTGATTCAAATAAAGATGAATTTCCTAAGGGCAGGAGGAAAGCTCGAAAGCGTAGGAGATTAGCCTTACGAGGAAGAGGGGTTAAAGATGATCGTAGAAGAACGAAGAAGGGAGCAGGTTCTGATGACTCTGGCTCATTTTCTAATTCCAGTGAAGACAGTGGTTCTAGTGATGATGACAGCCAAGGAAGCGGTCGTGCAGCTAAAAGTGAAGTTTCTGCCAGTTCAGCTGATAATGCTGCCTTATAGTGTAAACTCTGAAGCATGTAAAATCCAGTTGACAGCAAGTGTTATATACTAATGTGGTGCGGGAAACTCCAGTAAAACGTCGAGAGTTATATACTTAAATGCGGTGTCGTTTCTCAGCAGCCAATCCCATATCTCCTCATGGCCTTGGAAAACATTTGGTTTATTGCAAGAGCAGGAATGCTGTTATCTTGCTGTGTTAAATGTGTTGCCTTCAAGTTTTGAGGAGATGGGCATGCTTGCTTTCTTCCCCTAGAGGAAATGATTCCAGTTTAAGTGTTTACTATAGAGAAATACAAAGTAGGTGTTAGTGTAAATACTTAAATTTAGTATACCTTTTTGTAGCTCTTTTGTTGGAGGTTGGGGGAGGTGGAGAAATCACGATATTTAATCATCCTTTCAACTCTGATCCAGCTTGATTACTTTGATATGTAAAGTCCTGTAAATTCTATAATGCATATTAATTGCTGATTTGCCTATCATATTCGTAGTTGTTGCTATTGATGTGGCTGAGGTAGGAACTGGATTGTGTCATTTCATGTAGGATTTTTAAGCCTATAATGATTCGTGCCCTCACTTACTAATGCTTGTTGTTACTTAAGCCGTGCATAGATACTACACATCTTATAACCAACAGAAAAAAAAAAAAAAAAAAAAAAAAATAATCTTGTTGTTACCAACAAAGTTTAAATTCTGACTTCGAGCCTTATTGGTAGCTTGTTAGTTGTTACTAATAAAGAATTAATTTTGTTGGAACTATGATTGTTACTTGCACAACTTGGTAACAACTGCCGTTAATAGATTCAAAATGTTTATTAATCTCAAATTTGGATTAGAATTTTTATATGACGATTTTTTTTTTAATTAGAATTTCTAACTTGGATTATCAAGAAATGAATTGATTAGATATTGTTACAGAATTACAGGTATTTCTTTTACCAACATTATGAGTCCTATCAAATTTACTTTCATTTTAAACTTTTATCCATTGCATATTTTCACATATTTGGTTACTTTTCTTTTCTTACTTGAATCAGACTTAGATTGGATCTGAACAAACGATAAACGGTCTTTGGCTTACACCATTCTTTCGAGCGAGTTAGTGTTAGTGGTGTTGAAAAAACGATTTGAATTGGTAACATTGATCGAATCCGTTCCAAAACTTGAAAAACCGATTTAAAACCAGACCGATATTTTGTTATTATATTTTATTATTTCCAAAGAGTAACATACGTACTTAAAAAATGGTCTAATATAAGTGGTCTAGCTTTCCAATCTTGATTTTCAAAATAAGAGGTTTCAGTTCGGTCAAGTGTTGGACTAGTGAAGATCCCCTAAATTGGTGCACCCAAAATGGTGGAGTAGCGAAGGGGTAACATTAACGATTAACCAGGTCAAGGGATCGTCGTACAAAACCAGACAACAAAACCAAAAACAGACACATCTATTACGTACTACTACTTGTCTTCCCAACTCTGCAATCAGACCCTCGCTTTTCGCATATTCTTTTTTTTCCAGCTAGGGATTTCAATCTCCCTACTTTTTTTATTCAATTCTATTTTTCAATTGAATTCAATCCCCAATTTCTCAATTTTTATTATCAAATCACATTGTATAATCTTGTCATTCACAGCTCTTCGTATTAATTTCTTCCCAAATTCGACCTCTCCATTTCCATTTCTTGATCTGCGCATTCAATTTTCAATTTTCAATTCACTGGTAAGTATTAATTGATAATCACTAACCCTAGCATTTTTCTCGATTGATTTTGCACTTTGTCTGATCTGGGTTGTATTCAATTTGATTTAAGTGTTCTTCCCCTTTGTCAATTTTGCAGGATTAATTAAATTTTATTAGTTAATTGAATTGATTAATTCATCAGTTTAAGCTGATTTAGGATCTACAATGACGGTTCTTGAATCTGGGCATGCAAATTCATTTAAAAATGGAGTAATTTACTCGCCACAAGAGGAGAAACGCATCGTACAGGAGTTGAATGATCAAGCTGAATTTAATCTTCAAGAAGGCAACTTATACTATGTTGTCTCTAGCAGGTAATATTTTCATGAATTTGTTTTTGAGGAATTTTTAAAGTTGCTTTCTATTTTTGCCATCTTTACATGTGTAGAATTGCCAGCAGTTTTTCTTGATTTCTTTGGTTAATTAGTTGAAATATGTTTAATGTGATGTGATTTTTGGTGGGTGAAGGAGGGGATTATGTGAGATGTAAATTTGTACTCTAGTTATACTTGCGAATTCGATTATTTGAGTGTACTTGTCAAGACCAGCATTAATTTCAGCTTGTTTTAATTTCTTTTGGTTATTGTGAATAGCAGTTAGGCATTTCAGCACGTTGCTCTATGTAGCTTGTATGGGTTGCAACCGGAGGGTAATTGTGAATTAAAGCACAATGGTGATCTTGGCACTTCCCAACTGTGAGATGTTGTGGTTTGAGGAATATGTTGTTGTAAAAAGGAGAGTAATTTCACCCTAAATGGAAGGATTTACATTAATGGAGTTCGTTCACTTGCTCTAACTATACTCTGTAAAGAGTCCAAAGACTATAAGTTATTTCATGCTTCTTTCATGTCTAGATCAAATTGATTCTTTACATTTGCTATGTTTTGATTGTGCCTGCTTTGCTGCCAATAAACTTAATAACAACAAAAAGTGCCTCCCCTTATTTTTGAACGCCTTTCAGCTAGCTGAACTCTTGTTATTAGACTATTAACTCAATCGAGTTTCACCCTTTTAACTGAGAGAAATGGGGAAGATGCGCTCAATCTTTTGTCAGTGCTTCAGCTTGTGAGTAGGGTCTCTATTGCCTTAGCCCTTAAGTAAGATGTTTTTAGGAGTAGTAAGCCGCCGATGTACCCTTATTTGTGAAACAAGGAATGGATAAAAGGGCATGCTGATTGGTGGTAAGGAATGGAAATAAAATGCTAGTGGATCAACGTAGCATGATTTTATATTCTTTGGGAGGAAGGTCTTTTGCAGTTTTCATTATGGAAATGACTGTGCACTGAGAACAAGAATATATATATGAACTGAGATGCATACAGACACATCATTGATGTTTGTAATGCAATTGGATATATAAGCTTCTATGCCTTTTTTTTTTTTTTTTTTTTTTTTTTTTTTTTTTTTTTTTAACCGTGATAAATATTGTTAAGAGCCTGTTTACTTTTTTCTCATACACTTACTTCTGTTTCTTTTCGCTCAGGTGCGGGGTGTATGATTGAGCAAATACCAGAGCAATTATATATGCCTTTTTTAATAGAATATTTTGAAGTGATTGTCATCTTGCTGTAAAATATACTTCCTCAGTTTCTTTTTAGTTGACACGTTTCTTTAGTCACGTTTGCCAATGCACAAATTCAGCCATTAATATCTTTGCCTTTTATAATAGAATATTTTGAAGTGATTGTCATCTTGCTGTAAAATATACTTCCTCAGTTTCTTTTTAGTTGACACGTTTCTTTAGTCACGTTTGCTAATGCACAAATTCAACCACTAATATCTTCAATTACCAATAAGCAAAAATTATGAAAATTTGATATTTTGAAAATATTTATTGTAACGAATCTAACAAGATCCCACCTGACTATATTTTTCAGTACGCAAAAAGCACAAAATATGGTCAAAGGAGAGTGTGAATAGTGCTAAAGTCAAAACGTGTCAACTAAAAAAAAACGTAGGTAGTATATCTATTGTCACTATTTACTCACATTTGAATTCCACGACAATCTATTTTGTTTTTTCTGGGCATATGATCAGATCAAAGTTTGCTGTCTCAGATTAAGTTATTTGTAGTTGTTGATGTGGTGCCTTTCTTTCCTTTGTGTTCAGATGGTTTATAGGGTGGCAGAGATATACTGAGAAAGATGGTGAAGATTGTGAAATGAATGGGAATACAGCAGATTTACCAAATTCTGCTGAAAGACCAGGGCCGATTGACAACTCTGATTTAATTTTAAATGTAAACAGTGGTGATGCTGATAATTTAGAGCTTCTTAGAACGTTGGAGGAAGGACAACATTATGTATTAGTTCCTGAAGAAGTTTGGAAGAAGCTATTGGAATGGTAAGATCCCAACCCATTTTTTAGTTTTTTTTTTTTTTTCTCCTTCTTTTCAAGCATCGTTTTCCCTGTAAACCTTTTTCTTTCACAATCAAATATTACTAGGTCATATCAGGTACATTCATCTGGCAAGTTTGTAGCTATTAAGAGTCAATTTCTTACGAGTATAGTCTCAATTTTAGATAGCATGCTTGCACATAGCACATAGAATGTGATTTGGGATTTAAGATTATAGTCACACTTTTTTTTACTTATCATAGTTGGATTAAAATCAAATATTAACTTCAATTTGTACTTCCTCCGTTCCTTTAATATTGCAACGTTTGCACTTTACACTATTCGCTCACCCTTTAACAATATGTTATTAATACTTAAAGTAAAATGCAATTATGTTGGGTTTTGTTAAATTCGTTAGGATGTATGATTTCACAATATTAGCTATTTATAATTTTCAACGTTATATAATTTAAGATATTTAAACTTTAAAATATGCTTTGGCAGCGTAATTTCCTTCTCGTTGCTATATTAAAGGAACGGAGGAAGTATTATTCTAAGCAGCAAACTATGTAGTATGTAGTATGTCCCAATTTGACTTGTATAAACTACACCTTCACGATTCTAATTATATTTTCAAAAATCTAAAATATTCTCCATTGCCTGAATCTGCATGCTTTGCTCTAAAAAAAAAGACACTTGCTAGCGAAATCCACATTGGCCTAGAACGTGAAAGTTAATAGTGTGCTGATGGCTGAGTTCATGGGTAGAGGTATGAATAGATTTCACGAAGCATGTACATCAGTTGTGTAATGAACCGTCCTAGGGGAGGGGCATTATGGGTAGTCTAATATTGTTAGTTGTATCATGTTTAGTATAAATAAGTGAGAGTAAGCATATGGAAAAGGCATGTTGAATTGCATTAGAGAGTGGAAACACTTTGGAGAGCTCAACCTCTTAAATAACAGTTGAGGGAACAAGCTTCTCGAAAGCCTGTACTATCTTTATTATATTATCAGATTCTAATGCCAATTTCATCATCTTCATCCTTCAAAATTTATGTTTAATTTACTAGTTCATAAGCTTCATTGGTCAAAATCATCATTTTAATCTCTTAAGAACCACCTTTATTATGTTGGTTTGTTACAAGTTGTAGGCTTGTAGCATTTTCATAAAGTCTCTCACGTGAGATTGTTAAATTGTCTCATTAGTCATTATATTTGGTGGTGGTTTTTTTTTTCCTGGTTTATTGATGGATTCCTTAGGCGTTGACATGTTTTTATCATTGCTGCTTGTTTTATTTCAATCATTGTTTTTCCCAGAGATCTTTTAATGATGCAAATGGAGGGTTATGAGTTACATGAATTCTGGTAGAGGTCTTGGAATTTTGTCTTTTTATATTACTTCCTCTGTTTTTTTCCGTTGTTCCATTTTGACTTGCACGCTTGTCAATGTGCAACTTTGACCCGTAATATCTTATATTGTGTAGCTGTAAAAATAAATAAAAAAAATATGTATTTTGAAAATTTATATCGAAGCGATTATGAAAATACCCAACTTAATTATGTTTATCTTCATGTACAATTATCAAATGATGGTAAAAGTGAAATGGTGAATAGTGTCAAAGTCAAAGCGGAACAACTAAAAAAACGGAGGAAGTATAACTTAGTGGATTTGGTGCCCAAATATCCAACTTAAATCATACCTCCTGTTTTTGATTGCACAATTAGGCCCGCCTTCAATGTCTCAATGTGCTAAATGAGAGAAACTAAATAATGGACACTAATATGGTTTGAATCATTTTAGGGACAAGAAGATAAATTTCTGTTATCATATGCCTCTTTCCACATCTTCTTTAGTTTTATGTGTGTGGGATGCTTAAATTTTGTTAATTTTCAACCCCTGTTCCAACATTAAATAAGGATGATGTTAAGAATGATTCCAGACTCGTGCAGTGCTAACATTATTATAATAATATTGTATTCTGTGATACCTTTGATTAATGATTTATTTTCTTAGGTACAATGGAGGACCTCCACTGCCTAGGAAGCTGATTTCTCAAGGTGCTATCAACAAAAAGTTCAATGTTGAAGTTTATCCTCTATCTCTTAAGCTAACAGATTCCAGGGACAATAGCCAATCTGACATAAGTTTCAGTAAGAAGGTATTAAATGCTTGATATAATTTACAGCTTTGGTGGAACCTTTTCTGCAGCTTCCTGAAAATAATGTCTGATGAACTTCCCTTTCAGTCTCAATTCAAGTATTGGGATTTGTTAGAATCAGCCTATAAATGGTCACTGTTTTTTTAGACAGTCTATACTTCTTGCTTTTTAACCAATGGAATATTAATTTTATCAAAAAATATAGGAAGTTAGTACTTGATTATGTAGCTTAGATTTCAGTTTTCGCATTTTGTTTTCAAGTAAAATTGTCTGGCTCTGATTTTAAGAGTTGATCATCATGCTCAGGCTTCTACCCTTGAGCTCTATGAAAAAGTGTGTGCACTCAAAGGGCTACCACAAGATAAGGTGTGTTGGTCTCTTTATACGGATGTTTGCCTACTTAATTATTATTTTTCTTCTTCTAATTTTTAAATTATTACACTTCATAGTTTATTTTCATTCGCCTGAGGTCTCATTTTTTCTGGGTTTGAAATAATGTGAACAGGTCCAAATATGGGACTACTTCAATGAGAAAAAGCAATGTATCTTGGTTCCTTCGGGCAACAAGACTTTGGAGGAAGCTAACCTGCAAATGGACCAGCATGTTAGTAGTGCTTTCGTTCTTTGTTTGTCTAATTTGCGGTGTAAAAATAGTTGTCACTGAATTTGCAGAACTTGTATATAAATTTCACTTTGTGGGGGCTCTTTGTAAAGTGGCTAGTGAAAGAATTTAATTAGGGCAATTCATCAAAAAGTTAATTCTGTATCCATGTGCGAACACCACTATTCCACCAGTGAGATGAATTTTCTTGTGGATTTGTTGCTGTATCATAAGAACAATCTTAATTGGCAAACCAAGTTTCTAAAGGGAGAGAATTTTTACCCTACTTCTGAGTTTTTAAATCTACAACTGATTCTTGTGGATTTGTTTTTCTTACACTTATAATGAGTTTTGACTCTTCTTCTTTTAGATTCTTTTGGAGGTGCGAAATGTTGGGGAGGTATCAGCTGGCCTTGGGGTTATATCAACCGGAAATGAACTTGCTTTGGTTCCTATGGAACCGTCAAGGTCTGCTGTGACTATTGCTGGTGGCCCAGCCTTTTCAAATGGTTACTCGACGAGATACAGTTCCAACTTGTATTCTGGATTGAGTACTAGCTCGACTGCTGAGAATGGTGGTCATGATAGCAATGGTAGTCAGAAAAAAAAGGAAAAAGGAGGCTTAGCAGGGTTACAGAATCTTGGGAATACCTGCTTTATGAATAGTGCTCTTCAGTGTTTGTTCCATACTGCACCTCTTGTTGAGTACTTTCTACAAAATTATACCGATGAGATAAACAAGCAAAACCCATTGGGAATGCATGTATGCTCTTTTCAAATATTCTTCATTTTTGTATATTTGAGTTGGTCTTCATCTGGATTTTAGATGCAGAATGAGGTATTGAGCTTGTGATGTGTGGATTCTTTCTGTGCAGGGTGAGCTGGCCATTTCATTCGGTGATTTGTTGAGGGAAATGTGGTCTTCTGGGCGGACATCAATTGCACCGCGTCATTTTAAGGGGAAACTTGCTCGCTTTGCTCCTCAGTTTAGTGGGTATAATCAGCATGATTCTCAGGTTACTGCCTTTTGGTGCTCATTATTTGCATTTTATAATCTATTAAGCTGCCCTGTAACCACCTATACAATGAATTACCCCTTCCACACTCACTGTTGCTAACCCTGTTACCTCACCACAGTCCCTGATCTTCATCTCCAAAACTGCCATTCTGGTGGAAATTTTGTCTTTTGCGGTGGGTTGATGAGGGGGTGGACAAGAGAGAATGCTGCAGGGGTTAGTCATGGCAGTGATGGGGCGACGAAGGGAAGAGAGGGTGATAATGTGCTAGGAGGTTTAGGTTGTATTGTGCTGGTGGTGGATGTGGTGGAGCTTCTTTCGGAAGAGGAATTGGTGGTGGTGTTGGAGAGGGAGGTGGCGGTGAAGGTGAAGGTTAGAATTTTGAGCAATTTAACAGAATCAGGGTTGGTTGTGCTACCAAAACAATGACTTGATGATTGGTGAAAGTTATTTTACTATGAGCTGGATATATGATTAGTTCCCCCCCCCCTCTCTTGGTGTAACAAAATACTTATTTTGACAAATTTACTACCAAAGCTAGCGAGCTGTGACCACCAAATCCCATGGTTTCTGTTATCTTGATTGTTGTAGGTAGTTTAAATTCTGCGAACTTCTAGTTTTTGCCTAATTGAGGGCGAGGCCTACAATTGTCTATGCTATATTCTCACTCCTACGTCTAAATAATTATTTTTTTCTCATGTATAAGTTTCTAGTTCCCTACTATATCATAAGTTGCTTAATGATTAATTTTTTTTATCATTTAGGAACTGCTTGCCTTCTTGTTGGATGGATTGCATGAAGATTTGAATCGTGTTAAACAAAAACCTTACATTGAGATGAAAGATTCAGATGGCCGGCCAGATGAGGAATATGCCGAAGAGTGTTGGAGAAGTCACAAGGCGCGTAATGATTCGATTATTGTTGATACTTGTCAGGTTGGTAGAGTTCATGTTCTTGTTGATCTACTAAGGGTTATCATTTCTATTAATTAATTATCGTCCACTAAATTGTTCTTTATCTTCTTGTCTTTAGATGTGGGGGGGGGGGGGGGGCTGTAATTTTGCTGTAAGAGCTTTAGGAAGTGTATCTCTTGTCTTCAGATTTTCCATTATCTGTCCACGCTATTAATGGCCTTGGTGTGATTTAATACGTGTTATGCCTAGAAATGTTTGCAATTAATAATAAAAAATAAAGTTATACGGGTGAATATATTGGATCGAATTGCATAATCTTAAGCTACGTATTATGGCTTGCACAACTTTATTTCTTTTTCTCTGCTTATAAATACTCAACACATGCTTGAAACTTGATCAGTAGTTGAGTTAAATTGGATGATTGGCCACATTTTGTTCTAACTAGGGTAGCAAACGCACGCTATGCGTGCACCATAGCTAGTGATGTTCGGGGAGTTCTTTTGGTTTGACCTTATGTCAAAAATTTAGTTGTTGGCATCATTAATGAGGGAAATACATAAACAAATATTTTAGGGGAATAAATTGTTCACACACTATTCTTAAGAGTTTATAAAAGAGAGGCAATTAACATTAATGAAGGCTAATAAGTAAATAAACATTTTGGAGGGTATAATTGTCCAAACACTATTCCTAAGAGTTATCTCATACTTTTTAAAAGAAGATCGGGAAAGAACTCTCATTCTGTTTGATGGATAAAATGCCAACATATGTCACTGCTCTCTGTATTATTGAAATTTAATTGACCTGATATCCCATTTTGGGCAAGCTAGTATTTGCAAAGAATCACAAAAGTGACTTTGTTCTACTTTATTAATGATTGTTATTGCTTTGTTGACTATATTATGCTGCTGCATAGTACTATCAATATTTTGGAGCCCAATGAAAAGCACATTATGAGCTAAAGACTAAAATCTTTCATTCGTCGATATAAAAAAATATATTATATAACTTAAAATAAAAACAATCAATCAATATATATAACTAAAAGAGAATTTCAAATGACACGTGTCATTATGTGGTTAATAATTTTCCCGCCTGGTATTTCTTTCAATTTTCTCTTTTTATCGAGTTATGTTACTAAATGTGAATATATCTTAAATTACCATTTTTATAGCTGAATCTAATGATATCTTTTTAATTAATAAATAAATCAAATCAAGTATGACAAGGAAAATTACCTTTTTGTATATGAAGTAAATCCAAAGTTGGAAAAAAAAGTTTTCAACAAAAAAACCATGTATAAAATTTCTAATCAACAAAAAAGAAAATGTATAAACTATTATCATTTTGAATTATAAATTTTTGCATAGTGAAGGTGGAGGCTGACATGGTACATTAAATTAATCTTATTATTATAAACTTAAATTGCAAAGCAAACTTATGTCATGTGTTTATTGATTTTATTGACTCTGTCACATCGCTTGACATGAGCCACAATGATTGAGGAAGTCCTCATGTTGGTTCATGTAGCCGACCCCACTTATGCGATTAATGCTTGTAAGCAGAAGGAATAAAGCTTTAATAATTATTCTTTGAACTGATTCAAAAAATCTTGGTATTATCCGTGCATGCACGGGATCTTAATCTAGTTTAACAAAAAAGAGATTTGAAACTTGGTTGTGCTATTCAAAAATACAAAGATCACTTGCAACAGAACAGCACAACTTTTTGGCCATGCATCAAATTCCGTATGAGATATTTGGCTGTTCGCTAACCATGTTTGGTGGCAATTCGATGCACAGGGCCAGTACAAGTCTACACTGGTTTGTCCAGTTTGCAACAAGATCTCAATTACATTTGATCCATTTATGTATTTGAGTTTACCCCTGCCATCAATGACCAATAGAACGATGACGGTTACTGTGCTTTACACTAATGGAGTTGGGCTTCCAATGCCATATACTGTGACGGTTTCAAAACATGGATGCTGTAGAGATCTGATCCAGGCACTCGGAACTGCTTGCTGTCTAAAGAATGATGAGAGCCTCCTCCTTGCTGAGGTAGATATGCTTTATATTGTGCCCTGGCTCTCCTGGCTGTATTGCATTTTTTTTTTATACATTTGTCGGCTGTCACTATAATGTAATTTTTTTACTTTTAGGTTTATGATCACAAAATTTATCGGTACATGGAATCTGCTATGGAGTCGTTGTCTTCCATCAAGGATGATGAACATATTGTAGCTTACCGAGTTCCTAAGAAACTAGGGTTAAAGAAACTGGAGATAGTTCATCAATCCACTGAAAAGTAAGTGACACTACTAAAAGTAGGTTTCAGAAATCTCCTTCCCCTACCATTAAAGAATGTATTGATCTTCATGGATTTTGCTACCTTTTAAAAATAACTTTTCAAATTTCACTGCTGTGCTATTACATTATTGAGCTATATTTCTCATAGTAACTCCTGGTGACAGGAAGCTTTTAGGATCGCCACTTGTAAACTATTTGCAAGAAGAGCCACAAACTGTTGCTGATGTTTGTATCGCCATTACAAGTATCCTTTCCCCCTTGAGGAAGGCCCATGTGCCATTGATTAAGAATCACAGTGAGAAGGAAAATGGCTCTTCGTCGGGAGGCAATGATGAAACTGATAATGGGTTCATTAATGACACCGCAGGATGCAAGTGTAGCAGCGATTTGCCTTTCCAGCTCACTGTAACTGAGGACAGGCTTTCTTCAATTGGCAGACAAATTGATGATGATTATGTCAGAAGTAGTTCTTTTTTGAGAGTTACTCTTCATTGGACTGATAATGTACATGAACTTTATGATATTAGCTATCTGGAGGATTTTCCTGAGGTGTGCAAGTCCGGATTTACTGCAAAGAAGACCCGTCAGGAAGCTGTTTCTCTATTTTCATGCATGGATGCATTTTTGAAGGAGGAGCCTCTTGGACCTGATGATATGTGGTAGGACACCTTATTATTTTTAAATTTCAAAGCCTATGTACTTGGTTATATTCAGCATGTTCAAAATCAGCGCGTATAATTTGTTATTTTCTCTGTTTGAACACAGGTATTGCCCAAATTGCAAAGAACATAGACAGGCTTCCAAGAAGTTAGATCTTTGGAAATTGCCAGAGATACTCGTCATTCACCTGAAACGGTTCTCATATAGCAGATATTTTAAGAACAAACTAGATACATTCGTGAGCTTCCCCATCCAAAACTTAGAATTGGACAAATATGTGAAGGAAAAGGATTCATCTAATGCTCCCTACATATACGAGTTATATGCCATCAGCAATCATTATGGTGGCCTCGGTGGCGGACACTACTCTGCATATGCTAAGGTCAGAATTCTGTCGTAAAACCTTGCTTCTTTGGGCTGAAACTGTGTTTCTTGGTGGTGCGTGATTCTGATCACTAATGTTCATAATATGCAATTATAGACTTGCACTTGGGTTGACCTTGTGCATGGCAGATTTTCTCATTCATTTTTGTTAAGTAATTCATAAATATTCTTTCAATGAACAGTCATTATGTTTACGTTGTTAAGTAGTTTATGGATATCCTCGATGCATTTTGGGTCAGCAATTTGACAATCACGTGTAATGATTCCTCTTTGCCTTTTACTAATTTGAGTGAGCTAATTTAACTAGACCATGTGACACTATTACCGCTGCTCCACCCCCCCCCCTCTGGTGGAAGAGTCCAGGCCCACCTACTAGCCCTATCAAAACAGTTGATTGAATCAGTTTCAAACGAGCATCTGTCTCCTTAATTGGTTGTGGCGTGAGACTGTAAAAAAAAAGCTGATGTATCATGTTAGTTACTCCTATTGAGTCTAGCCCTTTTAGTGAAGGTATTAACTATCTTAAAAGCTGTAGAGTGCATGGTTCGTTTCAATTGGAAACTTATTGGGCTCTATTTGTTAATTCTGCAGTTGATTGAGGATGACAAATGGTATCACTTTGACGACAGTCATGTTTCTCCAGTAAGTGAAGCAGATATTAAGACTTCAGCTGCATATGTCTTATTTTACCGTAGGGTGAAAGTTTAAGCAAAATCTGAAGCCAGAGGATGATCTTGTGATCCTAGTCATTCTTAAAGGCAGTGTTTATTGTGCACATCTACAATTGCAGATACTCATTCAGCCTGGATATTACAGGCAAACTTCATTATAAATGTGTTTTTTTGTGCAATATTCGGAAGATTCGCTTTGGATGCTGGCTGATGTTGGCTTTAGATGGAGTTGATTAGCACGGAATTTTGGTTAGTAAGATTGGGAGGTAGGCCTTCGTTTGTTCCACCAACATTTGCTCATTTGTTCAACAAAATTTTGAATTGAGCAGGTAGATCATAGATTCTGGGAATTAATTTTTCCTAGGCCTTATGTATAGGTCTGGCTATCAGTAGCTGATTAATTATACTAGGAAACATTCATAACACTCTTTCCACCTCTGTGGTGGTTTTATTTAGTTTCCTTTTGGAGAATGACTTGATGTGTAACTACTATGTCCTTCGTGATGAAATTTTCTTTTGCTGATGTATATTTTGCCATGTTGCGTATGCATCAGATGGTGCCCCAAGCTCAACATTTGGGTTATACATCGTTATATTTTTTGCGCTTGATTACATCTTGTAACTACATTGTACTCTGGGTTATTAATAAAAGTTCTCAAAGCTTATGCCGACTAATACCAAATGATGTGTACTTCATATCATGTGCTTATATTCTCATTCAAATTTGGGGTTGCAAGATTATGAATGTGTTTTTTCTATACTTGTTTATCATTAACCATAAAACAGTGAATAATCTGAAACATGGGAGATAAAAAAATATATCTTCATCATACTTGTATCTAATTGACCCTGTCGTTTAGTCATGATAACCCGATTTAAGAGATGAAATAACAATCCTATCTCTAGGGCTAGCTAGACTTGCCTTGAGGCGGTGTGCTGTGTGCATACAGGCTACATAAAAAACCCTCTATTTTCCTGTTGCATAAAAATCTGTTGCAACAAAGAGATACTGGAAGCAAGAAGAAGCAAAGAAAGAAGAAAAAGGCGAAAGAAAAGTAAAAGATATCCAATCGTTGTAGTGTCAAAAAGAACAGGAATGAGTCATTAATAATAATAATAATAATAATAATAATAATAATAATAATAATAATGATATTAACAGGAGAACAATCAAAGAAACTATATTCCTCCTTTCCCTAACTCTCAAGTCTCTCTTCCAGATCTTCAATGCGCTCCGCACCGAGAATACAATCATAAATGGCTGCAATCTACTCTAAAGAACTACCAGCATAACAATCATAACCAGTGAAGTGACCGAGAAGCCGACTGAAGGATATCTTTCCTGCAGATTCACACAGAAAATAATCAGTTGTTATGATTGAGTTATATCTTGAACAATAGAATTAATCTTCTCACATTATTTTGTATGATGTTTTCTATACATAACCACCTTTCCATAACTAGTTCAAATTACACTATCAACTTTATCCAAGAAGTAACACAGTAATTAACAGCAGATATGTCCAATGTTACGCCACCAAAATTCCGCACCTTTAATTTCCACATCTAAACATTAGACCTCTAAAGTACTAAAAATCATTTACTTAAGAAAAATCCAATCAATTATAGCTGGTTTAATGAATCAATAATTCAAATACTACCCCTGATGACTAAAACACAAATACGAATAGGAATAAAATTAAAAAAAAAGCTGAAGTAGCGAATCTACAACAATCTGTCACAAACACGAATCTTATGCTTTTTCCATTTCCCACTGTGGGGTGGCACACTTTAATCAGCAAGAATCAAACATACCAATAATTTAATCAAATTATATTTTTATAATAACACAAAAAAAGAAAAAACTTAAATTTATTCTATTAATTTCAATTTTATTACTTTCCAGTTATATATTAGTTTCAACTTTTGATATTATTTTGTAAAACATAAAAACTTTCAAAATTGCAACTAACATATAACAAAAAAAACAGAAAAAGATGAAATAAAGGAAACTTACCGTTGAAAAAGAAATGGAGAGATACCCAGAAGAAGAGGAGCCACCTCCCCCACCAACGCCGCCACTAGCACCACCACCAGCGGCGGTTTCAGCAGAAGACGGACCATCAACACCATCATCACCAGAAGTACCATTACTAACAGCTTGAATAGAAGGAATTCCCAAAGAATAAGCAGGTGTACCATCAGGCTTAAACAACCCATAATTCCTCTCAGAAGTTGGTCCTGGTTTCAAATTCTCATTAAACAATGCAAACACAAACACATTCAAATCACAATCTGGCTTCATAGGAGTCCCTTTCTTTTGAGTTGCCAACATCTTAATCAGATTTCCATTGTATTTCTTGGCATTCTCCGGGGTCGCCCCGACCTCATCTTGGTCACCCTTTGATGGCCACCCAGTTTCAGAAACCTGCACTAATACCTTCTTGTTGAAGTTGGGTCCCATTGCGGAATACACCGCATCGACTTGTGCGTATAACATGTTGTCATAGTGTAGGCTAGAATCAGGGTCGACTAAAACTTGTGCAGTTTTAGCCTGGAACAATACATAGTCTAAGTTTACTTCCTCCGGACTACCCTTGTACGCGAAGTACGGGTACGCGTTTATTAAAAACGGCGAACCCGTCTTCGCGTGGAAACTTAAGATCTGCGAAATGCAACTTCCTAAGTCCGACCTAAACGATCCTGCTGACGGCGGATACGATGTATCAAGGATGGCTAGATTATGAGCCGTGGTCACCCAAACATTCCGATCCAAACTCAATGTTTGGAGTGCGGAATGCATGTTTTGCATTGCGGGGTAAAGACTGCTAGTTAAGGTTGTATCATTGAAAGTTAGAACTTCATTTCCAATCAAGATACATGTAATGTTGGTATAAGGTAAATAAATTTGGACATTCTTTTTAACCCAATCTAGAGCTAGTTTTGGGTTTTTTGCCAATTGGGGTAGTTGGTCGTTTCCTATTGTAACAGTAAATTCGATGCCGGTTTTAGCGAATGCTTTGAGGACTTTCGGGTCGGCGTCGTAGAGTTTAACCTTGGTTGCTCCGATTGCTTTAACTAGTGGTACTACTTTGTCTGGTGTTGGAAGATTGTTGGCAATTTGGCCGTAGTTTATTCCTAGTGATACCACTGTCACTGGGATTGTACCTGATGAATTTTCGTTTACTACTTTAAACTAACTGTAATTACCACCTCTGTTTCAAATTATTTAAAACGATTTGACATAAATTTTAGACTTATGTCTTATGGTTGTATAATTTGAAACAGAGGTAGTTTAAAAATATAACATGGAAAATGGTAGATGAAAATTAGAGTAATTACCTGAAAGAAGAACAATGAATGATAATAAGAAGAATGATGAATGTGGGTATTTGGTTGTTCTTGTGATTCTATCTCTGCTTGGTGACTCCATTAGATTGATGAATTCGAAAGATCTACTTATCAATTAATGAAATGTTTGATTTTTATGAAATGGGTATGAATTTTTTGGGGAAGAGAGAGAAAAGAGAAGTGAGAAGGGGAGAGAGACAGAAGAGGTGCTTTAGTAGTGTGTATAGACTGACAGCACCGAGCAAGGCAGCAACTAGTGTTGCTTGATTCTTTCTCTTTTTGTTATTAATAATATGGACTGCTAATATTATATATATCTATAATAAACCACTCCAATTAATAATATTATCAAAGTTACTTGGTATGGCGTGGAGAATGCAGATTATTCGCTCAACCTTAAAAGTGATTAACGTATCTTTGTTCGGGTCCATTTGATTCTCCATTTTCTAATTGCAAATTTGCAACAATTATTATTGTAGAAATTTTAGTGAAATTTGTAACATTATCGTATGGTACATTATTAGTACTCCTTATATGCTTTCACTTTTATGTTTTTTCTCATTTTGAATTTCCTATTACATGAGTCTCGATCTTTATGTCTTTCTACCTCTCCTCATCTTTAACTTCATATCATATCCTCCATGTCGTGCAACATTAGAGATTTAGAGAAATAGAGGAATACAAAAATGCGTACAAATTTTTTGTTATTTTCATACTAAAAAAAGTAAGGATACAATTTATCTAGGAATGATGGCTAAGCGTTTATTTTTCATTTTTTAGGTTATGTGTTCAATATCTTGTACTCCGTACTAAATTGCATAAACTTAATTTGGAACGAAAGGGGAAAAAAAAAGGAAGAATTTGATTGATTTAAAAGCGAATGATATTAGACAAGATTTATGGATGAAATATAATATTTATCTAGAGATTAATAAATGATGGAGGTGAGAATGACTTTATAAGAAAAGTCTTATACTATTTCATTTTATATTATTTACAACGATTTGACATAAAATATGAGTAGAATAGAAAATGTCTAATTATTGCAAATAATATAAGACGAAGGTAGTTTTATCTTTATCAACAATGCTGGTTCATTTGAAAATGCTTATTTGAGTATGATAGTCGGATAGTGTGTTGCTAGCTTGCTACAAACTGTAAAACGATAGTAGTTTCCTCATAACATCGTATCTAAACTCAGATCATTTGTCATACGAGGTGTCATCATAGCTAATACTAATATTTAAGAAATGTGAATACAGAATAATTAAAATATAAAACAAAAGTAACAATTTTTAATGACGAGATTTATTTTCATAACACTTGTATAAAACTAACTTAGCTTTACGATAAAGTTATGCCTAACAAATATCAATTACTTTTTTTTTCTTGACAATAACAAATTTCAATTACAGTAAACACTCATTTAACAATTTTGAGGTTCCTTATTTTCTTTTCTTTTTCTACTTTATCATCTTTTCTGGATTCCACCACTCCTATCTGAAAGCACCTATGCTTATGACCCCATATGATATTTTGCTGGCGAGTTTGTCAATTTTTATTTTTTTTTACAAGTAACTTTCTTTTCGACCCCTAACTTTTTATAATTGATTTTAATTGTGTGTAGCAAACTAGCAATCTATTGAGAGAATAACTCATGTGTGAATTAATTATTGTCCCGTATTAAAGATTAAATGAAAAAAAAGGCTAATTTAAGTTAGGTTTCATTTTATTCACATTACTTTTTTTGTTTAATTTAAATTATTTGACCTGATATAAAGTAAATAAAGGTGTTCTTTTCACATGAATTTTACTATTTTATGATTTTTATCTTATCATATTGGTTTGAACTCTTATCTTATTTAATCTTAGTAGATTTAAAATGAGTAAAAATAAGATGAGGATAACAAAATTTTAGTGTAATATGCTACTCTACCTTTTTTTTTTTACCAATTGGATTTAAAATAAGATGAGTATTAGACTAGTACGTATTTAACTCTTTCAATGCAAGTTTAATTTTAACCTAATGAGGAATTATCACAGTTAAACTAGGGTTGAGCAAAACTACCCGAAAATCGAAAACCCGATATGTAACCGTTTCGAAAATTAGGGTACTCGATCCAATAACCATAACGGTTCGGGTACCCGTTCCGGTAATTTGTTATCGGGTATGGTTATTGGGTATCATTTTAAAATTAATGGTTACCCGATCCGATCCGATAAGCAATTTTTTTGTTTTTTTTCCTACTTAAATCTGTTTTTTCAAAATCTAAACTCTTACTTTACTTCATAATCACTTTATAATATCAATGATTAGTAATATT